GTAGCCTCAGTTTCCTGTTCTTAGCTGAAAGGAGTGGCACCCGGTGTGGTCTTCTGCTGCTGTAGCCCATCTGCCTCAAAGTTCGACGTATTGTGCGTTCAGAGATGCTCTTCTGCCCACCTTGGTTGTAACGGGTGGTTATTTGAGTCACTGTTGCCCTTCTATCAGCTTGAACCAGTCTGGCCATTCTCCTCTGACCTCTGGCATCAACAAGGCATTTCCGCCCACAGAACTGCCGCTCACTGGATGTTTTTTCTTTTTCGGACCATTCTCTGTAAACCCTAGAGATGGTTGTGCGTGAAAATCCCAGTAGATTAGCAGTTTCTGAAATACTCAGACCAGCCCTTCTGGCACCAACAATCATGCCATGTTCAAAGTCACTCAAATCACCTTTCTTCCCCATACTGATGCTCGGTTTGAACTGCAGGAGATTGTCTTGACCATGTCTACAAGCCTAAATGCACCGAGTTGCCGCCATGTGATTGGCTGCTTAGAAATTAAGTGTTAACGAGCAGTTGGACAGGTGTACCTAATAAAGTGGCCGGTGAGTGTATAGTTATGTTTATTTAAAATATAATTTTAAAAAGAAGCATAAACAACGAGGGGTGTCTGTTTTATCTGTTTTTTGTGCTAACGTTTCTTTAGTATAACCATGGAGTATAAAATTGAGTATATATTCTCGGTACTGCATTGAACTCTACGATCGGCGGAAGTTATCGAGCATCCTTACACCTTCACCGGAAATACCGCCAGGCATAGAGCCCATTAGACCAACCCCTTTTAAACTTACGTCGAGCACAAGAGTCCTTTATCTCGCCGGTTAAAGGGATACTCCACCGTTTTTTGTTTTTTTTTTTCATATTATGTTATTCCCTTGACTAAGACGAGTTGATACACACCTTTCTCGTCTCAGTGTGTGGTGCGCTAGATCGCATGTAACTAGCCCAGTTTATTCAATATCGGCCAAGCAGAGCAGCGACCAAACACCTCCACGTTTTCCTTATTTTAATACAGTTACACGAGTAACTCGACCAAGGACGGTGACACAAAATAAAACGTTGCGCTTTTCTAAGTGTGTAAAGTGTATAACTATATTGTATGGCGAGATACCACAGCAAGTGGTTGGGAGCAGCACTTCGTGAAAAGTCTTCTCCCCCTCTCACTCTGTGATGATATTAATGTGCCGAGTCCATATATATATACAGTATATACGCCGAGTCGAAGTGTGGTATCTTGCTCTGCTATTTCGCCATACAATATAGTTATCCACTTTACACGCTTAGAAAAGCGCAACGTTTTATTTAGTGTCACCATCCTAGGTCGAGTTACACTACTCGTGTAACTGTGTTTAAATAGGGAAAGTGTGGAGGTGTTTGGTCGCTGCTCTGCTTGATTTAGTTTTTTCTTTGTAGCCCCCCCCCCCCCTCCTCTTTTGTGAGGGAAGTTAAGTTTTCCATTGTAAAAGTTGTGTGAATTATTGTGAATAAAGTTTTTTTGGTAACACTTTAAAATAATGGTCAGTAGTTAACAAGTAGCTATGCAGGAAGTAATAGGTAGTACTGCATTAACACCGAAGTTAATACTATTAACTAATATGGAAGCAATATTAACTAATCATTAAGTAATAGGTAATTTAGTACAAAGGTAGTTCCTTGGTAGGTATTTGATTGTTACTAAAGAAATATATCCTCATTGAGAACTACTTGTGAACTAAGAAACAATAACCAATTAATTACTAATCACAAAAGTAACATTTCTAAAAAGTGAACAATTGTGGGGGTTTTACTCTTAACATGGTCATAATATTTCAGAAGCATGTGCCTCAAATGGGTTCTTTGTGGATACCAGTTTATGAAGTTTATATATCCCCCCAAATACATTAGCTAGGTTGAGATTGTGACCACTACTCTTGCCCGGATGGACGCATGTTCTCTGTTTATTTAAAACTTAAACATAAAATAATCCTAATAAAGACAGTTTTTAAAAATAAACCTTAAATAATTAGGAAGTGATGCTGACACTCTCATGATTGGATTAGTTCACTATTATGAGCTCTATTGAATGTCAGTCACATAATTGAAATTGGCTGCATTTATGTTACGATAAGCGCAAAACCACATCTTCCAGATTACAGTGTTTGTTGGAATATTAGTGCCTCACAGAACCTGTGCAGTATGTGTCAAATATAAAATTAAATTACTTGTATCATTTGTGAAAAACATGTTAACTCCTCAATAACTACTTAAGCGTTACCTTGTCATCCCGCAGGAACTACTAGTGATGTGGCCCATTATTTTAAAGTGAAAAACATGTTAACTCCTAAGTATATATAAACTTCATAAACTGGTTTCCACAAAGAACCCATTTGAGGCACGTGCTTCTGAAATGTTATGACCATGTTAAGAGTAAAACCCCCACAATTGTTCACTTTTTAGAAATGTTACTTTTGTGATTAGTAATTAATTGGTTATTATTTCTTAGTTCACAAGTAGTTCTCAATGAGGATATATTTCTTTAGTAACAATCAAATACCTACCAAGGAACTACCTTTGTACTAAATTACCTATTACTTAATGATTAGTTAATATTGCTTCCATATTAGTTAATAGTATTAACTTCGGTGTTAATGCAGTACTACCTATTACTTCCTGCATAGCTACTTGTTAACTACTGACCATTATTTTAAAGTGTTACCGTTTTTTTTATTCAAATTCTCTCTCTCTCTCTCTCTCTCTCTCTCTCTCTCTCTCTCTCTCTCTCTCTCTCTCTGTGGGCGGAGTCAGTGGATGACAATGGCTGTAGACAGAATCACTCAGTTCATTTCTTCCAGACAAACACACCTGACAGGTAAGATCACCGCTTCCCTGTAGTGTGTGTGTGTGTGTGTGTGTGTGTCAGAATCTTTAAAAAGCCTGTGAAATCTGATTTGTTATTGATCTGATCTGCATGTAGAGATGAAACTTAAAAACTTTAGATTTTAGATTTTTAGAAACGTAGATTTTATGAATAGTTTTGAGATTTACAGCGGAAGACAAACAGAGAATTGAAAGTTAAACATGTCAAATAACTTTTGGCCAGACTGTCAAACAAAGAAATTATGAACAAGTAAAAACAAGAACGAACCAATGAAATATTAATGATTGATTAGGATGTAGTCAATGTTTGCGTTTTCCTTCATGCAGATACATCTTGCAGAGTAGTTTGCTTTTTTGTCTAATAACTTTATTAGATAGCCTAAATACCTTAACCGAGTTTATTGTTTGGTTCTTCTCTCATATTTAAAATGTTTTCAAAAATGTCCTCATATTTTAATGGTTTATTGTAACTTGCTCATTAAAATCCTCATCACTTTCATCATGTCCGTTTCCAGAATATATGAAGATCATAAGATTTCCTTCCTTTATCATCTGATGTTTTATGTAATGTGATGCGTTTTCTGTCCATCAAATCTACACACTGAAAACATGTTTGTAGGAAATTATAACAAACATTATTTTCCAGAATGTCACTCTCTTTCACGTTTGTAAAGTTTCATTTCTTATTCACGGTTTCCCTCCAAGTTTCATGAGTCAGTCGTGACAAATCAAGAAAAGACATTTCAGTAGTTTTGAGTGTTTGTTGAAAGTGTTGGTGAAGTATAAGTATTAAACTTATGTTAGTGATAGTGTGGTGTTTACTGACATTGATTCATGATGATGGTGTGTGTGTGTGTGTGTTAGTGAGTATTAAACTCATGTCATGATGACGGTGTGTTGAATGCCGCGCGGCCGGTCCGACTGGCTCTATTGTGTCGCTGTGGAATGAATAACAGAGGTGTGTGTGTGTGTGTGTGTGGGAGAATCTTTTGTGTGTGAAATCCAGCGAATGATGCCGATCCGCCATCAGCTCCAGATCACACACACACACACACACACTTCAGCTCGGATTGAGTTCTGCCTGATATTCATATTAACAGCTGGAAAACACGTTCAGAATGAGTTCATGTGTTGATTTTGCTTAACTTGCTGCATTGGTGAGGGGATTTTAAATATATCTGTCAGAAGTTTGGAAACATTAACATTTTTGTTAACACTTTACAATAAGGTTCATTAGTTCACATTAGTTACCTTAGTAAACTATGAAAATCAACTATACTTTACAGCATTTATTAATCTTAGTTAAAGGATTAGTTCACCTCAAAATGAACATTTTCTGATCTTTTACTCAGCCCAATGCCATCCAAGATGTGCATGTGTTTCTTTCTTCAGTGGAAAAGAAAGGAAGTTTTTTGAGGAGAACATTTCAGGAGGATTTTTCTCCATATAATGGACTTCAATAACAACCAACATATTGAGTCCGAATCACTGCAGTTTCACCGTCTCTGAAGATCTTCACACAGCTTCCCTAGAGCGGTGAGAAACTGCAGTGATTCGGACTTCAATCCATCATGTAATCCATTAGCCGGAATCCATTAGCATCCCATTGACTCCCATTCATTTTGGCGTCACTTTGACAGCGAATAACTTTACATCTGAGGCGTCCAAAGACTTCATTTGTCCATTATTTATTTCTAAAGAAACAACAATGTATAAAAGGATCCATTAGTCTGTATCTTACGTTACAGCCCGTAGAAGCCTTGTGGTAGACTTTCTCTCGCTCAATAGAGAAAAAGTTTAATTATCAACTAATATTATTATTAGTATAATATTAATTTCTCCTCCCCTTTTTTATCTTACCACAATGTATGAATGGTGTCATTGTTTCCAAGGCAAGGCAAGTTTATTTATATAGCACATTTCCTACTCTATGGTAATTCAAAGTGCTTTGCATAGAAAGGAATTAAAACAACCACAAAAAAACAAGAAAAATTAAAACAGTTGTTAGAATTACAAAAATTTCAGTACATTTCCAGAAAAATGTTAAGTAGCAAAAAAAAAAAATTCTAATATTTTCAAACTTTGACAGGTAGTGTATTCATTAATAGACCACATTTCTCTCTCTTTCTGTGTGTGTGTGTGTGTGTGTGTGTGTGTGTGTTCAGGGTTGTTTGTTGTTGTTGTCCCTTCAAATATCTGTAAAATCTTTCATGATTGTCATGACTAATGAAACTCTTGTCTTCAGTAATTACGTTCAGCATCATTTGAGGGTCAGTGAATTAGCTTTACATTAATCTGGCCCTTTGTTTGTTTCTCTCAGTGTAATATATTTCTCATGAACGTCTTACGAGCAGAAGAACAGTCCTCATGAGAACGCCTCTTACTTCCCCACTGCTGTATGTGGGACTGATGGCTTTCGGTGAGTCCACAATCATCATTAAAACGACACTGATCCAACATGTGCATTATGTCATGACTGTGTTCGAACATTTACAGGATGACTTGACTGTGATTGGCCAGTGGTGTCATTCAAATATTTATGTATCATGAATTTCTAATTTATAATTTTCTCAGTCAAGTCCTGTCCTCTATAGCTGTGCTAGTTTCATGTGTTGTGTCGCTCTTCTCACAGAATGAGATCATACAGACTCAATATTGTATTAATTTGACAGTAGGCATGTGAAGATCTCTCCATCCGACTGTGCTTTACATGATGACTGTACATGATCTCTTTCTGTGGTTCTGTTTTCAGCCAGCATATGTTCAGCAGTACAGACGTGAGTGAACCTCTTCAGATCTGCCCATTATATAACCTAAAGAAACTTTTGGGACAAAAGAACCCACCCAGAATGCAATCTTTCCTGTGTTTTATGTTGTTGTGAAATTACTTTAACATTTCTGGCTTTTGTTAATGACTATGACCTATCGCTCACTTTCCGTTCACGCTCCCATTTCTCTCTCTTTATCATTTCATTATTCACAGTACAACCTGTAGAACGAGTGGTGGACTTACAGCAGAACAATGCACTGATGTAAGTTCACTCACACACACACACACACACACACACACACACACACACACACACACACGGATATTTTTAGATTGTTCTTTGTTAGAGAATTTTGTTTGTTTTGGTAAGTCAGCAGCTAAACACACAAACTCACCATGAATTAAGCAATAATGTAACATGAGAAAAGCAACATATTAAACTCAAGTTCAGTTTTATAATATTAAAATAACTAATATGACTCAATCAAAGAATCAAGGATCTCAGAGGATCTACAAAGACTCACCAAAACCATCATCAAGACACATATTAACCCTAACAGACAAACACTGGAGATAAACACAATCAGACAACAGATCTGATTAGACAACAAAACTCCAGACAGAAACATGACACCGAAGGGAATGAAGAATAAAAGTGCCCTAGACAAACACAAGATTGAAACCTCACCAGCCCTACAGTCACTAGGGAAAGTCTGCGGAACGTGTCATAGACTTCAAACCCATCAGGAGAAGTTCACATATATTTATTTATACAACAGCCACTAGGCTGACCAAATTCCTTTATCGAACATGCATATAAGAAAATAATACCTGCATAACAACACAAATAAAGAGCAACCTTAAAACAGAAGTAGCAAACCATTATTAGACTCAAATATAAAATAGTAAAACCAACCTAAAGAAAACAGGTGGGTCTTTAACAGAAGCCATCAGCGTTATAAAGAACTGAACTGTTGTGTACTCATGTTCTCAATCCGTGCTGTTTCTGTCGCCTCAGATGGACGGTCCCACGCAGAGATTCCTGACGTGTGCGGGCGTCCCATCAGAGCCCGGCGCAGACCACATCATGAACCTGAAGGGCCTCATCAGTGCTGCTCTGGATGTCTACTCATTCATGGTACGCCAGAACACACAGACACACATATCCCATGAGCCTTCGCTGCTGTGGTTCTGTTGTGACACGATCTGTCTCGCAGCGCTCCAGTGTGACCGGGGTTCCAGTCTTGGATCTGTCGGGAGGGTTCAGTTTGAACGAGGATCACGTGATCAGAGCGTGGCTGGACATCAAGCTCACTCCTCTGCTGTCGACCATCTCCAGCAACTTCCTCACATGTCTCAGCAACAGAAACTTCAGCTGCAGCGCCTACCAGACTGTGTACGGCAACACACAAGAGCATTAGTGGAATACAGTTAATGACTTAATTTCATTGTGCATGTGTGTGTAAATGACTGTTTGTGTGTGCTGGTGTTTGGGTGTGTATAGTGTCAAGGAGTTGAGTCAGCATTTCTCCGGTCTGGATCCAGGGAGACAGAAGTGGATCTATTCCTTCTTCATGTACCCATTCCTCTCTAGGAACACATCCTCAGGTAACACTTCTACTTTAAGATGGAGTGCTGTTCATCAGGTCATGTTGTTTGTGTTCTGTGAAGGTTTTTCTCATGTTTGAATGTATGTTGTTGTAGGCTGTGTAGATCCAGAGGACAGCACCGAAGACTGGCTGATGAAAAACTTTGGCTCGTTCTCTGTCATGGCTCAAGTCCGAGACTTCACGTCCATCAACATGCTCTTCAGCGGGGTAGGAGCACTCCCTCCTGCATCTGATGCTCTCCTGAGGGTCGTTTGATAGCCCCAGTTTCACTGCAATACTATGTTAATGGTCTGGAGATATTCTGAGGTTCTTCCCTGTCTTGCCAGCTGGAGGTTTTGCACCTCTTGAGTCCAGAACAGAAGGCAGAGCTTCTCCTTCACCCAGAGGTGGTGGGCTTGACTGACAGCTCCCTCGGCCTGGTGTTCCAGAGTTTGCTCTCCTCTCTGATGCCCTCTGAGGATCCATGGACTTCTAATAACAGCACAACGTATTATATGAGCAGTCCATCCTCTTCACCGCATGACCCCCTGGGACAGGCAAGAAAGACATCATTCACAGTCTGATGGATGTAGATGACTAAATCTGTTGCAGTACTTTAAGAGCACTAGATGTAGTAAAGTGACCCAAATTTGCAGATCTATTGAGAGATTGAATGATTAATTTCGAATGTCTGATGTGTGGCTACAGGCACTGAATGGGTTCATGACGGCATTTAGACCTGTCGGGAGTTTTGTGAGAGAATTTGTGTCCTTGACAAAGCAGGTAACACACACACACACACACATTCAGTAAAGCATTGCAAACCTAAACACCATGTACTGAGTTTGAGGAATTGTTCTGTCTATATCTGCTCTCTTCCTGAAGGAAAACTTGAGCGGCATGCGGAGCGCCACACTTTTGCAGGCCATGATAAACCTGACGCTCGCCGAGATCGCCGCGCCTTTCAAGCAGAATGCCACCCAAGAGCAGCAGGTGGACCTGGTTACTTTTGACCCCATGAACGTTAACGACTGGTTCACACATGTGGTTTCTCCCGTACTCCGGCGATTCCTTCCTGACAACCAGATAGAAATCCACCCCAACCTCACGGCTGTCTTCCATAACCAGTTGTGAGTTTGCCATGCAAGAACTGTCACAGTTGCCCACAAAACTCCTCTCATAGAGTAATGAGAACATTCTGATGTGGTTTGGGGTTTTTCTTTAGCTTCATCGAGACAGGGATGGGATCTGGAGCCCAGAATGAAAGTCAGGACATCTGCAGCGTCATTATTGATAACAGAACATGTGGGGTAAGCTGAAGGAATGTATTATTCCAAGCATCTTCTCTGCTGGGATGAAAATTTGTTTTCGTATTGTATCTCACACACATGTTTATATGTCTGTCTAGCTGACTGACTTGGTGGAACATGTGGCCACTGTCCTGCACTGTGCAGCTCGATCAAACCTCACGCTCAATGAGGAGACGCTCTTGGATGTTCTCCTGCATCTGTCCCAGAACCTCAACGCTCTACTGCAGCAGCTCTCCATGACTGTGAGAACCACATCCGCCGTGTATAAACCAGTCAGTCTTTAGCAGGAGCATTGTGTAAGCCTAATTTCTGCTTGCATGTTGCTTTCGCCACTCTCCTAGAACTTCAGTTCCCAGAGTTCTCCCTTCAGTGACATCCTGGACCAAATCGTTGATGACAGCTTCACGATGAGCAACTTGCAGGATGAGTCTTTTGTTAGATTATGGTTCCAGGTCAAGTTGAAGCCTCTGCTTTCCACACTGACGCCAGAATATCTCACGTGCCTCAGTCACAAAGAGTTCAGCTGCCAAACCTTCCAGATACTGTACGTCCACGGCACGCATTCTCACCTAAACGCTGATCTCCTTTGAAGACCTCTATTCTTAACTGGCCTCCACTCTCACCTGACTTTCATTCATCACTTTCAGTGTTTCAGAGCTCAGTGACAACATGTTCCTGATGTCAGAAGGCGAGCAGAATGTTTATGAGTATTTCATCTTCTCCTTCCTGAGCCGACAAAATGTTTCAGGTACTTCTGTCCATTCGTCCATCTATCTGTTCATCCATCAATCTACCACTCAATCAATCTATAAAGATATGTTATCCACATGTTTTCAGGTGGCTGCCCTGCTGAGAACAGCAGCAACTGGGTTACTCTGAATCTTGGACAGTTTTCACAGTTTGCAACATTGAGGGAAATGTACCAGCTGAACCAAGACTTCAACGCTGTGAGTTACACACTTCCCCACTGTCAAGAACTTGATTTGTTATGTTTCTGCAACAAAGATTCAACTCTGTCATCTTTTTATGCATGCAGTGCTTGTCTGTTAGATGAAATCTTCTCTTTGTGTGTTTCAGATAGATGCCCTGGCGGTTCTGACCCCCAGACAGACAGCTGAACTGATAGTTGAGGACTTTGCAGGTCTCCCAGAGAAAAGCATCATCATAAACATGGTCTTTGACCATATCTTGGTTTCTCCTGAAGACCGTGGTCTACTTGAGATGCTCAGATATCTGATCACACTCGCTGGCGAGGTAAGACCATCTCTGCCACTGTGGAGAGATTGCAGTTCATATAAAAGGTTTGCAGTAAGTTGAATTGTTTCATGTTTTATTTTGATATCAGATGGGTTTGGAGTGCTCATCATACCAGCAGATGTAAGTAATACACATAAGCTCACATGTTTCTACAACTGTTTCTGAACTGCTTCCGTTGAGACCCAGTTTGACGTAATTGCTCTTCTCCAGAGTTCAGCGGCTGCAGGAAGCTGTGGTTCCTCCACACATGATGCAACCCATCAAGGACAGCGCGGACCAGCTGGAACACATGGCACCTCCTGGTACGCACAAACCAAAAATAGTTCAAACTATTGCGGAATGACTAAATATCTGAAGAGATTTTTCAACATTTGAGTTTCTAAATTATAGTTAGGATTCACACACACATGTATTTCTAAACTATATTTCTGAAATTTTACTGTTGTGTTTTTTAACAGGCTGTTTTCCTCCACTTGTTACGGTAAGAAACACAATTTTTGATCTCATTGGTTGATATTTTCTCAAACATGACAAGTGATTCATAATCTATAATTGTTTTTTGGTCATATCCTTTGCAGTGTATTTCAACACCATTCAATGGTAAGGAAAATATTAAGCTGCAAAGTACTATAAAATATAATTATCTGTTATTATCTGTTTTTCTTATTTTCCTTTTCTTTTACATTTACAGAAACCACAATTTGTGAGGGAATCAGCAGGTAGTGTTCATTTTAGACTTTTCACGAAATGAAAATAAAACTCATGTCAAGTAAATGAGGTTCATGAGGAGTTAATCTACCCCACAGTAATGCGACTCTCCTGTCCGCTGGTCTCGTGAGCGCCCCCTGTAGTGTCGACCTGCAGCAGTACGCTTGCTCTTCGGTAAGAAGATGACCAGCAGAAAACTCTTTTAACATGACCTGTTACTGATGATTGTCTGGGAATCTACTTCCCCCAGAGAGCAAATGTGCAGCAGTTTCTAGAATCAGCATTATGTTTCCTGAACTGTGATCTCCACTGATGAAATCCTTTGTGTTTGTAGCTCGCAGGCTTCACTGCTGAACACCTGGCTGGGCTTCTGGAGTGTCAACTATCCAGCAGCAGCAGTTACTCCAAGGAGATCTGGAAGCTGCTTTTCACCAAAACAGACAGTGTTCTCGATGGAGCCTTCGGGATCTTTTCCAGCATGGCGGCAAATATGGTAAAGAAGCGTTGCACTCCTCTGCTCTAATGTCACTTGAATATAGGACTAATTCCTCCTCATTACATCATCAGTCTCAGCCGATCAGAGGTGATGTCGTGTCCCAAGTGCTGGATGTGATTGGGGAGCTGAGATTGGAGCGCATCAGTCCTGACCAATGGAGTGACGTTACTTTCATCAGCGAGTTGTTGGCTCGATATCTGAAGCCGTTTTTGCCGTCCGTGTCTCCATCTCTACTGCAGTGCGCTGGGAGCAAAAACCTCAGCTGCCAAACTTTCCAGCGCATGTAAGAAACGCATTTCCTCTACAATTGCTCAAGACTGCCATGAGTTGATAAGAAGCTTTGTTCAATATTATTTCCACCCATTTCTCAGTCTGTCAGAGTTCCCGCCGACCAATGAGATGCAAGGAAGGAACGTGGTGGTATTTTTCATCTTGCCCTTCCTCAGGAGAAATGCAACAGGTGAGGTGGAGGTTTGCAGTGGTTTCAGGCCGAATGCCACTCATGTTGAGGTTCTGGAGCTAATGAAGGGGATTTTACTGTGTGTGTCAGATTTGGGCTGTGTGTCGAGTGCTAACACCAGTGCTGATTGGCTGCTGAAGAACTTTGGCTCGTTCGCCCAGTTTGCGTCTCTCACAGAACTGCTCTCCATCAACGCACACTTTGATCCTGTATGTATCTTCACTTCTTCATCAATGGACATGATACAAGAAGAAATACGATAATGTTGACGAACATCATCATCAGTTTTATCTACGGGACTTCTCCTCTAAGGTTTGCCTTCTTGTTCCTCTTTAGTTGGAGACTCTGGTCTATCTGTCTCCAGTGCAGATGGTCGGACTGATGGTTGAAGATCTACCTGGTCTGCCACAGAAGGAAGTCATCATTGATCGAGTGTTTGATCATCTGCTGGAGTCTCCTGTGGATCGAGGTCTTCCTGGTGTTCTTCAAAACCTGCTCTTACTCTCACAGACGGTAAAATTTTGTCGGATATTGTCAATTGTCAATGTTATACCAGAATTATGTGTCTCGTTAAACAATCCAAGAATACAATGATACAATGCCAAGGACTACCGTTTGAGTGCTGATGTTGAGAATCGAATCCGCAACCTTTGGGTCACCGGTCTGACTCTCTAACCAATGGGCCACGTCTGCCCCATTAGTGAGTCTGATGAATCAGATATGTGATGAAGGCACTGACGCCTGTTTGTGTTTCCACAGACCGTAATACAGTGCAGCTCCCTCACACTGATGTAAGTGTACTTGAGCCTCTGTTGTCTCGTTATTGAGTCTCTGGTGTCCTCTGTGCTGAAATCCCCCCTAATACTGCGTTTCTTTCTCAGTTTTAAGAGGCTGTTTAAGGATCTACCTCTCCTGCCATCAGACATGCAGACTCTGGTCTTCCACACAACTGGAGAACTCAAGAAGAAAGCAGAGACAGGTGATTCTCAGTCTGTGTGTCGTCATCATCTCTCACTGTTGACTTCACTAGAAGATCAGCATGTTTCTCAGTATTTCTGATGGAACTAAGGATCAATGTGTGTGTCTTATTTACAGGCTGCTCACTTCCTGAACCTTCAACAGTAAGTGATTGTTTTTAACACAGTTTTCCTTATGGACCTCTTTCAGTCCTACAGGAATCCTCTCTATGCCTCACTGTTTAAAAATGTTTTCACAAGACTCAAAGCATACAGAGATGTAAAAAAAATATATATTTATTTTGTTCTTCCCTTTTCCTTCTGTTTCAGTGTCTGGTCACACCTGTGAATGGTAAGTGTATTTGTACACCTGGCATTTTTCTGATCTTTAATACTCTGTGTCTAATCGAGTCTGAATGAACGCTGCGATTGAACTGAACCTGCATTATTCTACTAGCCAACATCCATAAGCACTGAGCCTAGCTTTGCTCAGATTTTTCCTGCTTAAATGTTTGTTACATTGACAGCTGTTGTCTGTACAGATCTATGGGCAGCCCCGGAGCCCATCCAAAGGAACGATAATAACTACACAAACCTATACTATAGGGCCCTACAAACCTTCAGTTCTCGGCTCCATACAACGCTAATTGCAAGCAGCCTGTTGGACAAGCAAACTGAAACAAATGAATAGCTTACATATATAATCAAATCCATTTATTAATGTGTCTAACTTTCTGAAAGGTCATGCCAGTAGTTTACAGTAGATTTTCTGATTTAGATTTTAGAGATAATCAAATCAAGAATTGCCCAGCATTGGACCTTCAGTAGAGTTATTGACCAAACAGTGTTGAGTGAGACTCAAGACTCAGTGTCACACACTGGTCATCGCCTACTGAAGTAATCAGGAGCAGAGCTATTTCCCAGGGTACAATGTTCCCAGGGCTCAACATACCCAGAGCACAACTCTCCGAGAGCTTAAAGTTCCCAGGGCTCAACATACCCAGAGCACAACTCTCCGAGGGCTTAAAGTTCCCAGGGTTCCATGTTCCTATGTTAGCTGAGGCCCAACAATGAGAACATAGGACCCTTTTTAAGTTGATAATTTGTCCTATATAACTAGGCATCATAGGAGCCGGCATCGTAGGAATAATTCCCTGTATCTATGTCGTCAAACAGAAACTGAATGAATCTGTCAGCAAATCTGAACAAGTTTTTTTGGTCAACTTTCTTCTTTTATTACTTTCATTTAATCTTCTTGACTATTACATTGTGATTCAAGGGTGTTATACTGAGTCGTAAAGAAATCCAGTAACACTAATCAATGTTTTCTGATGAATTTAACAGCTACCAGAGTTTGTTCAGGAGTCATCAGGTATGAGCAAATACTCTTTTCTCCACTTTAACACTGTGACATCATCTATGAGACGGGAAGTGCTCATGAAATTCTGATGCTTTCCACAGTAATGCGACTCTCCTGTCCGCTGGTCTCGTGAGCGCCCCCTGTAGTGTCGACCTGCAGCAGTACGCTTGCTCTTCGGTAAGAAGATGACCAGCAGAAAACTCTTTTAACATGACCTGTTACTGATGATTGTCTGGGAATCTACTTCCCCCAGAGAGCAAATGTGCAGCAGTTTCTAGAATCAGCATGATGTTTCCTGAACTGTGATCTCCACTGATGAAATCCTTTGTGTTTGTAGCTCGCAGGCTTCACTGCTGAACACCTGGCTGGGCTTCTGGAGTGTCAACTATCCAGCAGCAGCAGTTACTCCAAGGAGATCTGGAAGCTGCTTTTCACCAAAACAGACAGTGTTCTCGATGGAGCCTTCGGGATCTTTTCCAGCATGGCGGCAAATATGGTAAAGAAGCGTTGCACTCCTCTGCTCTAATGTCACTTGAATATAGGACTAATTGCTCCTCATTACATCATCAGTCTCAGCCGATCAGAGGTGATGTCGTGTCCCAAGTGCTGGATGTGATTGGGGAGCTGAGATTGGAGCGCATCAGTCCTGACCAATGGAGTGACGTTACTTTCATCAGCGAGTTGTTGGCTCGATATCTGAAGCCGTTTTTGCCGTCCGTGTCTCCATCTCTACTGCAGTGCGCTGGGAGCAAAAACCTCAGCTGCCAAACTTTCCAGCGCATGTAAGAAACGCATTTCCTCTACAATTGCTCAAGACTGCCATGAGTTGATAAGAAGCTTTGTTCAACATTATTTCCACCTATTTCTCAGTCTGTCAGAGTTCCCGCTGACCAATGAGATGCAAGGAAGGAACGTGGTGGTATTTTTCATCTTGCCCTTCCTCAGGAGAAATGCAACAGGTGAGGTGGAGGTTTGCAGTGGTTTCAGGCCGAATGCCACTCATGTTGAGGTTCTGGAGCTAATGAAGGGGATTTTACTGTGTGTGTCAGATTTGGGCTGTGTGTCGAGTGCTAACACCAGTGCTGAGTGGCTGCTGAAGAACTTTGGCTCGTTCGCCCAGTTTGCGTCTCTCGCAGAACTGTTCTCCATCAACGCACACTTTGATCCCGTATGTATCTTCACTTCTTCATCAATGGACATGATTCAAGAAGAAATACGATAATGTTGACGAACATCATCATCAGTTTTATCTATGGGACTTCTCCTCTAAGGTTTGCCTTCTTGTTCCTCTTTAGTTGGAGACTCTGGTCTATCTGTCTCCAGTGCAGATGGTCGGACTGATGGTTGAAGATCTACCTGGTCTGCCACAGAAGGAAGTCATCATCGATCGAGTGTTTGATCATCTGCTGGAGTCTCCTGTGGATCGAGGTCTTCCTGGTGTTCTTCAAAACCTGCTCTTACTCTCACAGACGGTAAAACTTTCTCGGATATTGTCAATTGTCAATATTATACCAGAATTATGTGTCTCGTTAAACAATCCAAGAATACAATGATACAATGCCAAGGACTACCGTTTGAGTGCCGATGTTGAGAATCGAATCCGCAACCTTTGGGTCACCGGTCTGACTCTCTAACCAATGGGCCACGTCTGCCCCATTAGTGAGTCTGATGAATCAGATATGTGATGAAGGCACTGACGCCTGTTTGTGTTTCCACAGACCGTAATACAGTGCAGCTCCCTCACACTGATGTAAGTGTACTTGAGCCTCTGTTGTCTCGTTATTGAGTCTCTGGTGTCCTTTGTGCTGAAATCCCCCCTAATACTGCATTTCTTTCTCAGTTTTAAGAGGCTGTTTAAGGATCTACCTCTCCTGCCATCAGACATGCAGACTCTGGTCTTCCACACAACTGGAGAACTCAAGAAGAAAGCAGAGACAGGTGATTCTCAGTCTGTGTGTCGTCATCATCTCTCACTGTTGACTTCACTAGAAGATCAGCATGTTTCTCAGTATTTCTGATGGAACTAAGGATCAATGTGTGTGTCTTATTTACAGGCTGCTCACTTCCTGAACCTTCAACAGTAAGTGATTGTTTTTAACACAGTTTTCCTTATGGACCTCTTTCAGTCCTACAGGAATCCTCTCTATGCCTCACTCTTTGAAAACATTTTCACAAGACTCAAAGCATACAGAGATGTAAAAAAAAAAATGTTTATTTTGTTCTTCCCTTTTCCTTCTGTTTCAGTGTCTGGTCACACCTGTGAATGGTAAGTGTATTTGTACACCTGGCATTTTTCTGATCTTTAATACTCTGTGTCTAATCGAGTCTGAATGAACGCTGCGATTGAACTGAACCTGCATTATTCTACTAGCCAACATCCATAAGCACTGAGCCTAGCTTTGCTCAGATTTCTCCTGCTTAAATGTTTGTTACATTGACAGCTGTTGTCTGTACAGATCTATGGGCAGCCCCGGAGCCCATCCAAAGGACCGATAATAACTACACAAACCTATACTATAGGGCCCTACAAACCTTCAGTTCTCGGCTCCATACAACGCTAATTGCAAGTAGCCTGTTGGACAAGCAAACTGAAACAAATGAATAGCTTACGTATATAATCAAATCCATTAATTAATGTGTCTAACTTTCTGAAAGGTCATGCCAGTAGTTTACAGTAGATTTTCTGATTTAGATTTTAGAGATAATCAAATCAAGAATTGCCCAGCATTGGACCTTCAGTAAGAGTTATTGACCAAACAGTGTTGAGTGAGACTCAAGACTCAGTGTCACACACTGGTCGTCGCCTACTGAAGTAATCAGGAGCAGAGCTATTTCCCAGGGTACAATGTTCCCAGGGCTCAACATACCCAGAGCACAACTCTCTGACGGCTTAAAGTTCCCAGGGTTCCATGTTCCTATGTTAGCTGAGCCCCAACACTGAGAACATAGGACCCATTTTAAGTTGATAATTTGTCCTATATAACTAGGGATTATAGGAGCCGGCATCGTAGGAATAATTCCCTGTATCTATGTCGTCAAACAGAAACTGAATGAATCTGTCAGCAAATCTGAACAAGTTTTTTTGGTCAACTTTCTTCTTTTATTACTTTCATTTAATCTTCTTGACTATTACATTGTGATTCAAGGGTGTTATACTGAGTCGTAAAGAAATCCAGTAACACTAATCAATGTTTTCTGATGAATTTAACAGCTACCAGAGTTTGTTCAGGAGTCATCAGGTATGAGCAAATACTCTTTTCTCCACTTTAACACTGTGACATCATCTATGAGACGGGAAGTGCTCATGAAATTCTGATGCTTTCCACAGTAATGCGACTCTCCTGTCCGCTGGTCTCGTGAGCGCCCCCTGTAGTATCGACCTGCAGCAGTACGCTTGCTCTTCGGTAAGAAGATGACCAGCAGAAAACTCTTTTAACATGACCTGTTACTGATGATTGTCTGGGAATCTACTTCCCCCAGAGAGCAAATGTGCAGCAGTTTCTAGAATCAGCATGATGTTTCCTGAACTGTGATCTCCACTGATGAAATCCTTTGTGTTTGTAGCTCGCAGGCTTCACTGCTGAACACCTGGCTGGGCTTCTGGAGTGTCAACTATCCAGCAGCAGCAGTTACTCCAAGGAGATCTGGAAGCTGCTTTTCACCAAAACAGACAGTGTTCTCGATGGAGCCTTCGGGATCTTTTCCAGCATGGCGGCAAATATGGTAAAAAAGCGTTGCACTCCTCTGCTCTAATGTCACTTGAATATAGGACTAATTCCTCCTCATTACATCATCAGTCTCAGCCGATCAGAGGTGATGTCGTGTCCCAAGTGCTGGATGTGATTGGGGAGCTGAGATTGGAGCGCATCAGTCCTGACCAATGGAGTGACGTTACTTTCATCAGCGAGTTGTTGGCTCGATATCTGAAGCCGTTTTTGCCGTCCGTGTCTCCATCTCTACTGCAGTGCGCTGGGAGCAAAAACCTCAGCTGCCAAACTTTCCAGCGCATGTAAGAAACGCATTTCCTCTACAATTGCTCAAGACTGCCATGAGTTGATAAGAAGCTTTGTTCAACATTATTTCCATCCATTTCTCAGTCTGTCAGAGTTCCCGCTGACCAATGAGACGCAAGGAAGGAACGTGGTGGTATTTTTCATCTTGCCCTTCCTCAGGAGAAATGCAACAGGTGAGGTGGAGGTTTGCAGTGGTTTCAGGCCGAATGCCACTCATGTTGAGGTTCTGGAGCTAATGAAGGGGATTTTACTGTGTGTGTCAGATTTGGGCTGTGTGTCGAGTGCTAACACCAGTGCTGAGTGGCTGCTGAAGAACTTTGGCTCGTTCGCCCAGTTTGCGTCTCTCACAGAACTGCTCTCCATCAACGCACACTTTGATCCCGTATGTATCTTCACTTCTTCATCTATGGACATGATACAAGAAGAAATACGATAATGTTGACGAACATCATCATCAGTTTTGTCTATGGGACTTCTCCTCTAAGGTTTGCCTTCTTGTTCCTCTTTAGTTGGAGACGCTGGTCTATCTGTCTCCAGTGCAGATGGTCGGACTGATGGTTGAAGATCTACCTGGTCTGCCACAGAAGGAAGTCATCATCGAACGAGTGTTTGATCATCTGCTGGAGTCTCCTGTGGATCGAGGTCTTCCTGGTGTTCTTCAAAACCTGCTCTTACTCTCACAGACGGTAAAACTTTCTCGGATATTGTCAATTGTCAATATTATACCAGAATTATGTGTCTCGTTAAACAATCCAAGAATACAATGATACAATGCCAAGGACTACCGTTTGAGTGCCGATGTTGAGAATCGAATCCGCAACCTTTGGGTCACCGGTCTGACTCTCTAACCAATGGGCCACGTCTGCCCCATTAGTGAGTCTGATGAATCAGATATGTGATGAAGGCACTGACGCCTGTTTGTGTTTCCACAGACCGTAATACAGTGCAGCTCCCTCACACTGATGTAAGTGTACTTGAGCCTCTGTTGTCTCGTTATTGAGTCTCTGGTGTCCTTTGTGCTGAAATCCCCCCTAATACTGCATTTCTTTCTCAGTTTTAAGAGGCTGTTTAAGGATCTACCTCTCCTGCCATCAGACATGCAGACTCTGGTCTTCCACACAACTGGAGAACTCAAGAAGAAAGCAGAGACAGGTGATTCTCAGTCTGTGTGTCGTCATCATCTCTCACTGTTGACTTCACTAGAAGATCAGCATGTTTCTCAGTATTTCTGATGGAACTAAGGATCAATGTGTGTGTCTTATTTACAGGCTGCTCACTTCCTGAACCTTCAACAGTAAGTGATTGTTTTTAACACAGTTTTCCTTATGGACCTCTTTCAGTCCTACAGGAATCCTCTCTATGCCTCACTCTTTGAAAACATTTTCACAAGACTCAAAGCATACAAAGATGTAAAAAAATATATATTTTACATTTTGTCTTTTATTTTGTTCTTCCCTTTTCCTTCTGTTTCAGTGTCTGGTCACACCTGTGAATGGTAAGTGTATTTGTACACCTGGCATTTTTCTGATCTTTAATACTCTGTGTCTAATCGAGTCTGAATGAACGCTGCGATTGAACTGAACCTGCATTATTCCACTAGCCAACATCCATAAGCACTGAGCTTAGCTTTGCTCAGATTTTTCCTGCTTAAATGTTTGTTACATTGACAGCTGTTGTCTGTACAGATCTATGGGCAGCCCCGGAGCCCATCCAAAGGAACGATAATAACTACACAAACCTATACTATAGGGCCCTACAAACCTTCAGTTCTCGGCTCCATACAACGCTAATTGCAAGCAGCCTGTTGGACAAGCAAACTGAAACAAATGAATAGCTTACATATATAATCAAATCCATTTATTAATGTGTCTAACTTTCTGAAAGGTCATGCCAGTAGTTTACAGTAGATTTTCTGATTTAGATTTTAGAGATAATCAAATCAAGAATTGCCCAGCATTGGACCTTCAGTAAGAGTTATTGACCAAACAGTGTTGAGTGAGACTCAAGACTCAGTGTCACACACTGGTCATCGCCTACTGAAGTAATCAGGAGCAGAGCTATTTCCCAGGGTACAATGTTCCCAGGGCTCAACATACCCAGGGCACAACTCTCCGAGGGCTTAAAGTTCCCAGGGCTAAACATACCCAGGGCACAACTCTGAGGGCTTAAAGTTCCCAGGGTTCCATGTTCCTATGTTAGCTGAGCCCCAACACTGAGAACATAGGACCCATTTTAAGTTGATAATTTGTCCTATATAACTAGGCATCATAGGAGCCGGCATCGTAGGAATAATTCCCTGTATCTATGTCGTCAAACAGAAACTGAATGAATCTGTCAGCAAATCTGAACAAGTTTTTTTGGTCAACTTTCTTCTTTTATTACTTTCATTTAATCTTCTTGACTATTACATTGTGATTCAAGGGTGTTATACTGAGTCGTAAAGAAATCCAGTAACACTAATCAATGTTTTCTGATGAATTTAACAGCTACCAGAGTTTGTTCAGGAGTCATCAGGTATGAGCAAATACTCTTTTCTCCACTTTAACACTGTGACATCATCTATGAGACGGGAAGTGCTCATGAAATTCTGATGCTTTCCACAGTAATGCGACTCTCCTGTCCGCTGGTCTCGTGAGCGCCCCCTGTAGTGTCGACCTGCAGCAGTACGCTTGCTCTTCGGTAAGAAGATGACCAGCAGAAAACTCTTTTAACATGACCTGTTACTGATGATTGTCTGGAAATCTACTTCCCCCAGAGAGCAAATGTGCAGCAGTTTCTAGAATCAGCATGATGTTTCCTGAACTGTGATCTCCACTGATGAAATCCTTTGTGTTTGTAGCTCGCAGGCTTCACTGCTGAACACCTGGCTGGGCTTCTGGAGTGTCAACTATCCAGCAGCAGCAGTTACTCCAAGGAGATCTGGAAGCTGCTTTTCACCAAAACAGACAGTGTTCTCGATGGAGCCTTCGGGATCTTTTCCAGCATGGCGGCAAATATGGTAAAGAAGCGTTGCACTCCTCTGCTCTAATGTCACTTGAATATAGGACTAATTCCTCCTCATTACATCATCAGTCTCAGCCGATCAGAGGTGATGTCGTGTCCCAAGTGCTGGATGTGATTGGGGAGCTGAGATTGGAGAGCATCAGTCCTGACCAATGGAGTGACGTAACTTTCATCAGCGAGTTGTTGGCTCGATATCTGAAGCCGTTTTTGCCGTCCGTGTCTCCATCTCTACTGCAGTGCGCTGGGAGCAAAAACCTCAGCTGCCAAACTTTCCAGCGCATGTAAGAAACGCATTTCCTCTACAATTGCTCAAGACTGCCATGAGTTGATAAGAAGCTTTGTTCAATATTATTTCCACCCATTTCTCAGTCTGTCAGAGTTCCCGCCGACCAATGAGATGCAAGGAAGGAACGTGGTGGTATTTTTCATCTTGCCCTTCCTCAGGAGAAATGCAACAGGTGAGGTGGAGGTTTGCAGTGGTTTCAGGCCGAATGCCACTCATGTTGAGGTTCTGGAGCTAATGAAGGGGATTTTACTGTGTGTGTCAGATTTGGGCTGTGTGTCGAGTGCTAACACCAGTGCTGAGTGGCTGCTGAAGAACTTTGGCTCGTTCGCCCAGTTTGCGTCTCTCACAGAACTGCTCTCCATCAACGCACACTTTGATCCCGTATGTATCTTCACTTCTTCATCAATCAACATGATGCAAGAAGAAATACGATAATGTTGATGAACATCATCATCAGTTTTATCTACGGGACTTCTCCTCTAAGGTTTGCCTTCTTGTTCCTCTTTAGTTGGAGACGCTGGTCTATCTGTCTCCAGTGCAGATGGTCGGACTGATGGTTGAAGATCTACCTGGTCTGCCACAGAAGGAAGTCATCATCGAACGAGTGTTTGATCATCTGCTGGAGTCTCCTGTGGATCGAGGTCTTCCTGAAGTTCTCCAGCTCCTGTATGTTTCCTCCACACAGGTAAGAAGTGTTTCAGGGTTATGTCTGGAAGGCTTTCAGAACCGTACAGTTGTCTCAGTTAATACAGTAGAAGATTTTTTGCAAACACTTTTCTGTAATTGATTGAATTGCTATAGGATTGATCTTCATTGCTATTATGCCATTGATTAGGCTTGTGTTATGTTTCATGTTATCGCTACTTACAGCTATAGTCCTCTAAATGGAAATGATGCATACTGGTTTTCTTTTCTAGAGTCCACTCAGCTGTCCAACCAACCAGATAATGTAAGTGTTTGTTTGTTAATAACCGAGAGAGGCTGAGACATCAATGTTCGGATCTTCTTGACTGCTTCTTTTCTGTTGTAAATCAGCTTCAGGCGGCTTGACCTCCTCCTGAGATCATCCGTGGGCGATCTGGAGCCCGTCATCTGGGCGAGCGTGTATAACCTCAGCCTCACGGCACCAGCAGGTCGGCACAGGGCGATATGAGTTTCTCTAAGCCATCATGTCTGTTCCCTGTGTTACTTAATGCTATTTCTGACTTCCTCACAGGCTGCTCTCTACTCCCAGTTGTGGATGAGGTATGTCTGTTGTCTTAAGTGAATTACTTTTTATGTGATGTGTTCTGTACATTTCACACCGTATTTGTCTTTTCGTCCACAGTGTCCTTTGACTCCATACAACGGTAGTGGGCGACTCCTCTTCATCACTATTACTGCGTGAGCATGTGTGAGTGTGCAGGGATGTGTTGTGTGTCTGTGTATGTGATGTTTTCCTCTGTTTGTCTGTATTTCAGAGACTCGAGTGTGCCGTGGAGTCGACAGGTAGAGTGAGGCTTTAATGACTGCTTTATTTTTCTGTTTCCCCACCTGACTTTGGTTAATTGTGTCATCTCTGTCCTCAGTTCTTCATTACAGCTCTTCCTGAACAACGGCGATGCTACAAGCAGGCTTTGTGACTTCAGCATTGCAGAATATGCATGTACCCCGGTAATCAGATAAGAATCTCTATCCCAGAATGCACCTCTCTGATCCGCATGAGGCAGTTGTCAACAGTCGTGTTTGGATGTGCTTCAGGTGCTGAATGTCAGTGTGGATCAGCTGGTGTCTGTGCTGGACTGCCATCTGTCTGATGATGTCACCACATCCCCGGAGAGCTGGAAGCTCCTCCTGACCAGAGTCTCAGCCCTGCTGGACGCCACACTCGTCACGCTCTCCAACAGGGTACAAGAGTCTGGATTCACAGATATTGACGACATCCAACATCCCATGAAGCATTGCACAGCATTTACAATGTTTTGCATGACAATGTGTTCTTTGAATGTTCTGACAAAGTAGTAACATTTAACCCTTGTGCGTCAAGTGTCATGACTCTGCTCTTCTCTCCGCTAGTCGGCGCGTTGGAGCAGCGGCTCTGGCTCCGCGGCTCTGGATGTCCTGCGAGAGCTACGGCTGGACAGACTCGCGGACGAGGGCAGCGTCGCGCTCTGGCTTGGCGAGCGTCTCCGGCCGTTCCTGCCGTTCGCTTCGAGGCCGTTCCTGCAGTGTCTGCGCAGCCAGAACTTCAGCTGTCAGAACTTCCAGACAGTGTAAACACCAGATCGTCCTCACAACACACCCGATTAGCACACTTTATTTATGAATATGAATTATAGATTTATGATTAGCACACACTGTGTTGAGAGCGTTGCTGTTTATGGTGAATCTTTGTCCGTGGAGTCTCAGAGTTATGTTATTGACATGTGTGTGTGTGTGTGTGATGAAGGGTTGAGGCGTTCAGCGCAGGATTTCTCCATATGAATGACTTTCAGCGAGAACTAACAGTGACGGAGTTCATCGTGCCGTTCCTCTCTCGACAGACCGCAGGTGAGGAACCGATATCTCCTGTGTTTCATTCACCTGTCCTGGTCAGATTCGCTCATCAGTGACGTGTGCATGTGTGTGTTTGCTCAGGTGCGGCGTGTGTGTCCAACGACAGCTCTCAGTGGCTCATCCGTAACTTTGGCCAGTTTTCTGCAATCGTCTCTCTGAATCAGCTGACCGCGCTCAACACACAGTTCAACCCGGTATGAGTCAGACACATTCACACTGAAAAAAACAATCACTGTGTGCGTCAGTAATGTGTGTGTGTGTGTTCCTCTAAATCAAGATGCATTCAATTGAGAAGCAAAACTGAGTAATATATTAAGATTCTTCTATTAGGTTTACTCTTGTGAATGGAAGTAGTCCTTTCTTCCGCATTGACATACATTTCAGTTAGTTGTGTATATCAGTTGCTGATTGGATGTTCAGATGTGGGCGTGGCACTCAGTATATGCAGATGAGCTGAGCTTGCAGGGGCGGAGCTTAAAGTGAAAAAGACTGACATCGAGATCGAGAAACATGCGCATGGATGAACTGTTCACAATATGATCCATAACATGCATTTAGAGAATAGATAGGAAACTTTATTTTCTCAGTATCTTCCCCAGTTGTGCTTCTCGTGTACATGTAGGATGTTTGGAGATTATTTCGATCCGCAGAAGAGCTTTACCTGTGTTCTCCGTCTGTAGCTCGGCAGCCTGCTGGCCCTCTCTGCAGAGCAGTTGGTTGGGCTGATGTTTGATGATGTTCCTGGTCTTCCAGAGAAGGCTGTGGTCATCAATGCCGTGTTCGATCACCTGAGCGCATCTCCACAGGAGGAGAGGATCATCCCCACGCTCCACTTCATGGTGGAGTCATCAAAGACGGTAAAAGGGTTTTCCTGCTCACTCTTACATGTCTCTCTCTCATCGCTGTCCATCCATTAATGTGTGGACGGGTTTCTTTCAGAGGAACATCTCCTGTGCGGCGTACCAAATCATGTGAGTGTGTTGTCGCATGCTGCGTGTGTTTGTTGTGTTCAATCTCCTGCTCACACGTCTGTCTGTCTGCTAGTTTCCACCGTCTGGACCACCTGATGGTCGTCGCGTCCGTGAATCTGGAGACGGAGATTCTGAGGAGCAACGCGGCTCTGCTTCAGCGAGTCCCGGCGGGTGAGACGGCATCTCCTGTGTTTTAAAGACAGTCACCTGAGTGTGTGTGTGTGTGTGTAAACTCATCAGTGTGTCTTTTTCTCAGGTTGTGTGAACCCCAACAGAGAGGTGAGTGTTGAAGATGCTTTGGTTACGGTTAGTTTTACGCTGATGATTTAAGCTCACGTGAGTCTCTTCTGTCTCTCCCAGTGTGGCGTGACACCAGTGAACGGTTAGTGTTCCTCTCTAAACGAGTTTGAGTGATTTCTGTCTGTAATCGTGTAATGTGTGAGCTGACGTCTCTCCCTCTCCTCTCTCTCCCTCAGAAACGGCAGTGTGCAGCAGTGTCAACAGGTGAAAACTCCTTCAAGAACCATTCAGATGATTTTGTAACTCAAACAGTCTTACTTTTAATCAATTAATAGATTACCCTAAGAAAAATCAGCCTATCAATCTATTATCTGAAGAAAATCGTCCGACTGGCCAATTAACCATAGAAAAAAATAGGCTGATCAATCAATAAACTCTGCCGATTAATCAATCAATTATCCGAGGAAGAAAATTGGGCGATAAATTGATTATCCGAAGAAAACCAGCCAATTGATTGATTATCTGAAGAAGAAAATCAGTCGATTGATTGATTATCTGAAGAAGAAAATCAGTCGATTGATTGATTATCCGAAGAAAACCAGCCGATTAATCGATTATCTGAAGAAAACCAGCCGATTAATTGATTATCTGAAGAAGAAAGTCGGTCGATTAATTGATTATCCGAAGAGAACCGGCCGATTAATCGATTATCTGAAGAAGAAACTCTGACGATTAATCGATTATCCGAAGAGAACTGGCCGATTAATCGATTATCTGAAGAAGAAAATTGGACGATTGATTGATTATCCGAAGAAACCCAGCCGATTAATCGATTATCTGAAGAAGAAGCTTTGAGGATTAATCGATTATCCAAAGAAAACTAGCCCATTAATCGGTTATCCAAAGAAGAAAATCGGTCGATTAATTGATTATCCGCAGGGAACCAGCCGATTAATCGATTATCTGAAGGAGAAAATCAGTCGATTAATTGATTATTCTAAGTTGAAAAAATCTGTTCAGTTTAGGCCAGTTCTTATTGAGCAGAATTAAGTAATTTCATTAAGTAAATGAAAATTTTAAATCCCAATTTTAACTGTTTTAAAAACCTTTTTTGTTGGTTATGCGAAAGTTAACATTTAGCATTCCCTGTTAGCTGGAAAATGAGGCGTAGCTATCTTCTGATTGGCTGTTTTTGGAGTATCTGTGTTGTGATTGGCTGTTTGAGGCATATCTGTCATGCTCATCTCTGTGTGTGTTACAGCTCTGGTCTGTCGGTGTATCTCAGCTCGTCTCATGACGGCAGTCGGCTCTGTGAATTCAGCATCACGCAGTACGCTTGTGTAGAGGTACTCCACACACAACCCGTACACACAGACACTGATCACACACACACACACACTCTCTCTCTGTAAACATGTTTTGTGTTGTGTTCAGTTGACAGAGCTGAGCACGCAGGACCTGGTGACGGTGTTGACGTGCAGTCTGAACGGGGACGAAGACGTGTCCGGAGAGACGTGGAAGTTGTTCACGCAGAAGGTCAACCCTGTGCTGGGTCCAGTGCTCGACACACTCGCCAACACGGTACACGACAACACTCTCTCTCACAAAGATGTGTGACATGTCTGTAGAGAAACAATATCAACAAATAAAGTAGAACGTAAAATAACATGAAAGTAATATCAGTGAGTAATTAAGAAGGATGAACTGTGTCTCCATCAGAGGCTGAATAAGTCCCGCCCCTCAGTGTCATTCTTGAACATGATTGGAGAAGTCACTCTAAGCTCCTTCAGCTCCACCAACCTGAGAGATGATTCGTTCGTGCAGCGCTGGTTCAACTCCAGGCTCCGCCCATTCTTCCCCTCCGCCTCCGAGGCGTTCCTGTCCTGTCTCTCCACCAGAGACTTCAGCTGTGACACCTTCAGGAGCGTGTGAGTTTGCAACACACACACACACACACACGTGTCACACGTCGACGCAGCTCTAAGACGCGGTCTCCTTCACAGAGTCCAGAGCTTCAGTCAGAGTTTTGACATCATGTCCAGCGAGACTCAAGCCAATGTCTACGTTGACTTCATCAAAGTCTTCCTCTCTAAGAACAGCAGCGCAGGTGGGCGTCTCTCACACTAACAGCACATCTCAGGGTCAGTGCCACCGCTCAGCTGTGACGTGTTGCTCTGTGTTCAGGGTGTGTGGACGTCTCTCAGAGCAGCTCTGATTGGCTGATCAGCAGCTTTGGACGATTCTCTGTCTTCACCTCAGTGACTGACCTGCAGATACTCAACCCCAGCTTCAGTGTGGTATGACACTCACACACCTACACACACACACACACACACACTCAGCACAACAGACTTCCAGCATGTTCACCTGTGTGTGTTTGTGCAGTTGGACGCTCTGGGTCTGTTGAGCGTCAAACAGTTAGTGGAGGTTTCCAGCGCTCCTGGGTTCCTGTCCAGCGCCGCTGCCGTCTATAATCTCCTGCTCTACGTGCCGGACACACAGCTCACCGCCTTCTACACTTCTCTCTCTGCAACGCTACAGGTGACACACACACATTGTGTTCTGATTGGCTGTTTGTGTAGTATCTGTGTTCTGATTGGCTGTTTGTGTAGTATCTGTGTTCTGATTGGCTGTTTGTGTAGTATCTGTGTTCTGATGGTCACAGTGATTTTGCCAGTAAGACATGTTCCTGGATCAACATTCCTGTCCCAAATGTAGTCCTTACCCAACCGCTACCCCTAAACCTAACCCCACCCCTAACTGTTCCCTAAATCTGAGGGAATGATAGGTGGATAACACTGATGTGTAAGCCCTTGACTCTGGTTCTAAGCCTAAACTTGACATAAACTGTAAACTTGTCCCTCAAATCTGATTGATTGATTGGAAAGTTGATCCAAGGAACATGTGGTACTTGGCGAAATCATGTTCACCATGTTCTGATTGGCTGTTTGTGTAGTACCAGTGCTCTGATTGGCTGTGGTCTGTGTCTGTCAGCTGCAGGGTGGTGTTCTCCCTCCTCCGGTGAAGGAAGCGTTCCTGCAGCAGGTGTTTGACCGGGCCAACCTGACCACGTTATCAGATGATAATCTGCAGATCTGGATCCAGAACATACTGCCTCCGTTCATAACGAACATTACGGTCCAACACGTGACGACTTACTTCAGCGTCGTCGAGCAGCGGCCCTGTCCGATCAGCCAGCAGGCGTAAGCCTATCTCACACACACACACACTCACACGTGAACACACTGCGTACTCATCGAGCTTGTTCCCACAGGGTGCAGCTGCTGAACTCGTCCAGCTCCACCTTCCAGCCCGCAACACAAGCTCAGATCTACCAGCTGATCCTCGGCTCTCTCACAGGTGTGCATCCACCCGTCCCTCATCCATCCCTGCGCTCATCACTGCATCTGCTCATCCTTCTGTCTCCACAGGCCCCGCCCCGCTGCGCTGCTACAGCAACCAGAGCTACTACGCTTTCCTGACCTCATCCTTCATGAGTTTCCAGTTCCCGAATCTGAGCACCTTCCTGTCCCTGATGCCCCCCGCCCGCGTGCCAGAGGTCAGACCCGTCCCGCCGCCTCCAGCCAACGATCACCGGTTAGATCCGCTGATAGAGTCCTTCGAGTGCTGACTGTGTGTGTGTGTGTGTGTTTTCGCCTCTCAGCTGATGGAGTCGATATCTCCCGCGGAGGTCAGCAGTCTCCTGAACCGCCCGAACGCTGTGGACGATGTTACCAAAATCTGCCAGTTCTTCACGATCTACCCGAAGACGCCGCAGTACTTGCAGACGGTACAGGCATCTCACACTCCTCTGAAACGGCTCGTGAACGACTCTCCCTGATGGAGTCACGGTTCATGCTGCCGCCTTTTCCCCCTTTGCTGCCATTGGCTTGGCTCGCTCAGTTGAGGACATTAAGTCTAACATTTATTATATTCACAAATATTATTGATCTCCTGCATTGACACTATTACACAAGAGCTGACCTGAGCTGGACGATGACATCACTGTTTACTATTTATATATACAAATGAACTAAATTTTAAACAAAACTGAAGCATCACTGAACTGACTTAAGCTGGACTGACGCTATTCTCTTCTGGAAACAAACTTAGTTGCAGGACTGTGTGTGTGTCCCGCAGGAGCCGCTGGGCTCGCCGGCTCTGGCTCAGCAGGTGCTGTCCTGCGTGTGGCCTCGGGTTCTGGAGCTGGAGGTCCAGTCTGAGGTGGATCAGTGGTTCGAGTCTCGCCTCGTGCAGTACCTGCCGCTGCTCACCTCACAGCTCATCGGCCCCGACGTCATGCGGAATTCCTCCTGTCTCTCCTTCAAGAAGTTGTGAGTAACGTTTTCAACATTATGCATATGAAACGGTGATGTGGAGCAGCCAACGGGTCCAAGCCCAAAGGTGTGGTCGGTCACTCAAGTGGGATTTCACACAAGTGACATTTTCTAATGTCAATCATGTAGCAACACACCCAAGCACTGCTCACACCAAAGTCACTTTCAAACCAAGCAGGTTTTGTGTTGGTGAACGCGGCGAATCCACACGGACACAAGCGAAATCTGCTCGGGATCTTTTCCCCATCATGCTGATCTCCCATTGTAATAACTGGATCCCACACATGAAACGGCGACTCAACTTTGTGCGTCAGTAGCGTAACCTTCTCATTAAGCTACGAAACAAATATTTCTGAATGTTAAATGAACAATCAAAAGTTTTTCTTGGTTATGTAAACGTTAAGGGAACATTTCATCGTATCATTCCACTCAAACATTATAGTAGTAACATTTAAAAATAAGTAGACGAACGTCCAATTATAAGTTTGAGAACATTATTAAAGACCAGAAAACTTTGAACAGATGTTCTATTAATGTTAGTGGAAGATCATTTGTTCATAGCTTTAGGAGAACCTTTCCAGAACGTTCCCTGATCGCTGGGTTTGCTTTGCCGATGAAGGGACGATGTTTTACCCCTAGACTGGTTTCCCCTTATATGAATAAATGTGCTGCTGACGGATTTGGTGTGTTTCTGTGTTCAGTGTTTCAGTGATGGCCAAATACAACTTCAGTGCAGCGGCGTTTTCCCAGAGCGACATCTACGGGACCATCCGGGTCTTCCTGAACACCTGTGAGTTACGGTGGATGGACTGCATGATTGACTGTGTAATGATAATGAAGATTCGTCTGTGAGCCGTGTCTGTCATCTGTTCTCAGCTTCAGATCCTAAATGTTATAACGCATCAAACCCCGTTCTCAACTCCACCGCCTGGTTCTCCGACTACATCTCCGTCTTCTTGCGCTTCATCACGCTGGACGACCTGCTGCTCTTCGGCTCCATCCAGGTGTGACGGCGCTGTCAGGAACTCCACCAGTTCAAAATGATCACTTTGCCCTCATGTATTCACTCTCATGTCCTTCCAAACCAGTCTGCCTGTTTTCTTTTGTGGGACTCAAAAACGTGTTTGTTTTTCAGCCGTTCCTGGAGAACCAGGAGAACCTGCAGCTCTTCGGTCAGATCGACGTTCCTGATGACGTCATGGAGTACTACATAAGTCAGCTGTTCACCCAGAATCAGTTCTTCAGCGCCTACTAGTGAGAGACGCCAACAATAACCATCCTTACTCACATCTCACTAAACTACACTTCTAAAGGGGGTTTTCATATCAGTGTCAAAGAAGAACCATTTCAGGTTCCTCAAAGATCCTTTCAGTGATCAGTTCTTAAAAGAACATTTTAATAATCTATTCAACCTTTTCCCACTCTAAAGAACCTTTTGTGCACCGGAAAGATTGTATGGGTGTTAAAGTGTCTTGGGGGAAGCATCATTTGAAGACGCTGCTCTTGTCTGATGGTTTAGGGAAGTTTTGGCCTCTTGTGTGTGTGAAACCAGCTCAGATCAGCACACCAACGAAGGCTGGTTGAAGCTTTTGTTTCCACAGAACTGTGACTTTTACTGTTTGTAAAAGACGTCCTGATGAGCTTTAACAGCGTTGACGTGATGTGTGTCTGTGTTTACAGTCTGCCTGTGAAGTTATCCTGCTTGGCTCCTGCGAGCTCCTTCCTCCAGTTGAGTGCGCAGCAGTTGAAGAACATCTCTTCCAGCATCCATCAGCACTGCACCAACATCCCACCTGACGTACGTACAAGAGTGTGTGTGTGTGTGTCAGCAGAAACAAGCTCTATAGAAGCTAAATGTGTGTGTGTGTGTGCGCAGGTGTCGGCGGCTCTGGCCAGCAATGCGGACGTCCTGACGGTGGCCATCCTCCAGGCTCTGGCTCAGTCGAGCACGGGCTTGAGCACGGCCCAGATCAGCGGCGCCGGAGGGAGTGTTCTGCTCAACGCTCTGTCTGTGCTCGGACTCGTACAGGGCTGGAACCTCGACCAGGCCATGACGATCATGCAAACCCTGCTGGCGTCCGGACTGTACCAGGTACGCTCCACCAGTGCGCCTCAAAGCCAATCAGCGCACTGCGTCTCAGAGGAACTCCAGTGTTGCTCAACAAATCGTTGAATCCGTGTTTATCCACTCGCTCATAAAAACCACTAATCCAGTTTGCAGACTGTGAGTGGATGTGTTTGGAATAGCTGGTGTTCTATGTTATTATGTATTTTTTATACATTTTGATTGATTTTAATACTTGATTTTTTATTTACATTTACCACTTTTTTTCTACTACTTCAGTCTCTTAAATGTGTATTTATTTGTATTGTGTTGTAAAGCAAATTGGATTACTATGGTTGTGTTAAACGGGAGCTGTGTGAATAAATAAACTTGAGTATATGTACTGATACACACCTGTGTGTGTCCTCGGCAGATCGATAGTGCGGACGGACTGGTGGGATTGGGTTCGCTGATCGTCGGTGTTCAGACATCAGTCATCAACGGTATCTCAGGAAATGTGTTGCTTCTGGCCCTCAAATCTCAATCATTCATGACCAATGTCATCGGCGCACCCATCATTCTCCAGCAGACCATCGTCAGCCAGGTAACACACACACACACGAGTACGTCTCAGGTTTGTCTCGTGACGTCTCTGTAGATCATCTCTGTGGACAGCTCACACACACACACACACACACACACGTCTCAGGTTTGTCTCGTGACGTCTCTCTGTAGATCATCACTGTGGACAGCTCGTCTGACGGCATCATCACGAACGTTCCTGCCCTGATGGCGTCGGAGATCCCGCGCGTCTTCCTGCTCGGCGTGTCGTCCTCCGCGGTGGTGCAGATGGTCAATCAGAAGAACTGGAAACACGAGCAGGTTCGTCATCTCAGGACAAACGTCCGCAAGACCCTTCATCTATTGGAGAGTTTCCCTTCAAGGGGCGCTTTATGGATTTACTTGTAATTTGGTTTCAAAATCCAGTTTTATTTTAATCAAATTTTGTGAATTAAACAGTATACACACTTCATATCAAGAGAAAAAATCTATGTATCCATTAAATATGAAAGTATGTAGTAATTGAAACAGGACACATTGTGCCCTTTGGCGAAGTCTTGTTGCGTTTGGGCTCTACAAGCACAGGCGTTCAGAAACAGCTTATTTCCCCATATTTATCGTTAGCGTTGTTGCTATCCAGGTTTTTTATTAGCTTTAGGAACATCACACACTAGAGAAAGATGAACATGTGACTGGGCCGCTGAGACACTCCTCAGGAGCGCTGCAGGTCTACTGTCATAAACGTGAATGACGTGTTGAAATCCTCTTCCTTTCAGGCCATCTTGCTCTTCGAAACCGTGGCCATGGAGTTCAGCGACCCGGACGCGTGAGTGAATAGAGTCCTTATTACATCAGTCAGACTGGATGAGGCTGTGCTTCTGAGTGTGTGTGTGTGTGTGTGTGTGCAGCATGTCTTTCCAGGTGCTGCAGGGTTTCAGCTGTTCACGGATCCAGAGCTTCAGCACCAGCAAAACCATGAGTCTGATCCGCGGCTGCCGCGCGCGAGCCAACCAGACGCTCGTCCTGCAGGAGTCACAGGTGAACGCAGACACTGTCCTCCTCCTCAAACGCTTACGCTTCGACATCTACCGATGCTCAGATGTGTGTGTGTGTGTGTGTCCTTCAGCTGACCTGCATGTACTACTACATCAAGAGCGCGGACCTGAACGCCTTCTCTCAGTATCCGGCCGAGGTGCTCATCTACTACAAGTACGTCAGCAGGATTGTTGGTGCTCGTGGAGGAGTTGGTGAAGACGGCCTCATCACACACTTGTGTGTCTGCTTGTTTGTGTTGCAGTTACTCAATGATTGACAGATCTCTGTGCCGCTCGTATTTCTCGTCTCTCGGAACGGCCGACTTCTCGGTGCTGTCCAGCGCTCTGTCCTTCAAGAAGCAAGTCCTGTTCAGCAGCGCCAGGGAGTGTCTGGTGAGCGCACACACGTTTCAGCTTTTTATCCTCATTTATACAGTCACTTTGAATCAGTTTTAACATAAACAAACTAATAAACTTAATGTGATTCATGTTTGTCAGTCATACATAAATTAAAATTGCGTAGAATCAGCATAAATCTGTTCATAGCGAAAACAATTAAACTTATCCAGTTAAAAGGTATGAACAGGGTCAAGTATGGAACGATATCCACTGAGTTACAGTGTTGACCGTGTCCAGTAAGGCCTGAGCTGGTGTGTGTGTGTTTCAGGGAATCTCGGGGTTCAGCATCACTCGTGCGCAGCTGGATGTCCTGGGCGGCATGTGCTGCTTCCTGAGCGCCGACTACATCCAGAACTCAGACCCGTACGTGCTGGAGAAACTCAAACAGTGCCAGGATCCATCGCCTCAGCAGATCTCAGCGCTCGAGAGTGTCCTGCTGAGAGGAAACACCACCTACGGGTACAAGCTCACTCACACACGCCACTGAAGGCCGTTCCCACTACAGGGGCGATAACTATAGCGATACTGCTAAAGGTATCGCTGCCTTCCGCTGTTGAACACTAGCCTAGAGCGCCATCTGCTGTTAAACACTAGCCTAGAGCGCCATCTGCTGTTAAACACTAGCCTAGAGCGCCATCTGCTGTTGAACACTAGCCTAGAGCGCCGTCTGCTGTTGAACACTAGCCTAGAGCGCCATCCGCTGTTAAACACTAGCCTAGAGCGCCATCTGCTGTTAAACACTAGCCTAGAGCGCCATCTGCTGTTAAACACTAGTCTAGAGCGCCATCTGCTGTTAAACACTAGTCTAGAGCGCCATCTGCTGTTAAACACTAGCCTAGAGCGCCATCTGCTGTTAAACACTAGTCTAGAGCGCCATCTGCTGTTAAACACTAGTCTAGAGCGCCATCTGCTGTTAAACACTAGCCTAGAGCGCCATCTGCTGTTAAACACTAGTCTAGAGCGCCATCTGCTGTTAAACACTAGCCTAGAGCGCCATCTGCTGTTAAACACTAGCCTAGAGCGCCATCTGCTGTTAAACACTAGTCTAGAGCGCCATCTGCTGTTAAACACTAGCCTAGAGCGCCATCTGCTGTTGAACACTAGCCTAGAGCGCCATCTGCTGTTAAACACTAGCCTAGAGCGCCATCTGCTGTTAAACACTAGCCTAGAGCGCCATCTGCTGTTGAACACTAGCCTAGAGCGCCATCTGCTGTTAAACACTAGCCTAGAGCACCATCTGCTGTTAAACACTAGCCTAGAGCGCCATCTGCTGTTAAACACTAGCCTAGAGCGCCATCCGCTGTTAAACACTAGCCTAGAGCGCCATCTGCTGTTAAACACTAGCCTAGAGCACCATCTGCTGTTAAACACTAGCCTAGAGCGCCATCTGCTGTTGAACACTAGCCTAGAGCGCCATCTGCTGTTAAACACTAGCCTAGAGCGCCATCTGCTGTTAAACACTAGCCTAGAGCGCCATCTGCTGTTGAACACTAGCCTAGAGCGCCATCTGCTGTTAAACACTAGCCTAGAGCGCCATCTGCTGTTGAACACTAGCCTAGAGCGCCGTCTGCTGTTGAACACTAGCCTAGAGCGCCATCTGCTGTTAAAAAAGCTCAGAATTGATTCGTGATTGGAATGGATCTATGAATCATGATGCATCGATATATTATCGCAGCCCTAATAGTTATGGTTTTTGTGTAATCGGGCCTGTAGAGCAACACATATCACACACATCTGCTGTCATTATATGATGATGTTCCTCTCAGATCCTCCAACAGCTGGAGCAGAGCGACTCTGGAGAACCTGGGGATCCTGCCGCTGTACGTCACCGCAAACATCTGGAGCAAATTCACACAGGTAGAGCACGAGGAAACACAGGGAACACACGGCTGTTTGTGTAATCCACTGATAACTGTGTGTGTGTGTGTGTGTGTGTGTGTGTTATCAGGAAAACAAGCAGAAGTTTCTGAAGATGTTCATCCGTGACCTGAGGAAGAACAACAAGGCTTCAGAAATGAAGATCCTCAACATGATGAACGAGGTCAACAAAATCACACGAGTCAAAATCAAGAGATCCGCAGGTGAGAGAGAAAACACACACACACATTACACTAAAGTTGAGTATAAACACAGCAAAACCAGCGGGACACACACACTAGTCTAGATCAGATCACTATAATCACAACTGTGGTGTGTGTTCCCCTCGTCTCCTGTAGAAACCGCATGCACTGAAGGAGAAGTAAAGCAGGCTCAGGTTTACAGCGACATGTTTCCGTTCGCCTACGACGTGACGCAGTTTAACGCGTGTTTGAGCGTCCAAACTCTGAAGGACAACCTGGAGGGAATAACTGATCGAGTTCACGACAGGAGCTACCAGAGGATCGTCCTGAACAAACTCAACCAGGTAACAACACACACACACACACACCTGAACACAGCGGTCAATCACAGTGTTGCCATAGAAACGCCACGTGTTTCCCGCTCCTCGCAGGCGTATCCTGACAGACTGTCTGACGAGGTGCTGCAGGTTTTAGGCTCCGCCTCCCGCACAGCCACACCTGATGATGTCAGAAAGTGGAACGTGACGAAGATCGACACGCTCTCGTCTCTGATGAACCCCCGCAACGGAGACTGGGACCCTGAGATGGTACAGTATGTGTGTGTTTCAGCAGAACCAAACGTGGTGAGGTCGGTCTGGTCCAGTGTTCTGATGTGTGTGTCTCCCTCAGGTCCAGCTGCTGGTCAGTAAGTATCTCAGTGTGAGTGGAAACACTCTCGGCACTAACGAGCTGAACGCGCTGGGAGGAGCTAACCTGTGTATGCTGAACGCGAGTGTGCTGAACAACATCACGGCCGCCAGTGTGGAGTGAGTACACACACACACACACACACACACACTTAGATGTCTTGCTCACAGCTGTCATTTCCTGTCGGTATTGAGAATCGAACCCGCATCCTTCGTGTTACCAGCCTGACTCTCATTAGGCCGCGACTGGAATTATATCCCTAAAGCAAACATTATTTAGCTTGTTGATCTGTTTTCCTGTTGCTTGTTCTTTGTTTTGGGGACTTTTGGACGAATGCAGTTTAAACCTGTAGACTCATACCTGTGACATGGACGTGTGTGTGTGTGTGTGTTTCAGGCGAGCTTCTGCTCTCTCTTTGACCTCCTGCAGTCCAGAGAAGAAGTCGATTCTGTTCAGTCTCGCTCTGAACGCATTCAGCGCAACAAACACACGCAATACAAACACCGTCAGCATCACGACGTACCAGCTGCTGCAGAACTACCTCGGTGAGTAACAACACACACACACACATATTGAAACCCACTTCTGCAGTCGGTCTGACCTTGTGTGTGTGTGTGTGTGTGTGTGTGTGTATTTTCAGGTGGTGCCAATTCTACGTTTATTCATAGACTTGTGAACTCCAGTGTGAATATGGACGTGCCGACCTTCATGAGTCTGAAGCAGAGCGTCATCAACGTGAGTCAGTGTGTGTGTGTGTGTGTGTGTGTGTGTGTGTGAGAGCGCCATCAGCGTGAGTCTCGTCACTCCTGTGTTTGGGGATTATCAGTGTGTGTGTGTGTGTGTGTGTGTGTGCAGGTGCTGAGCGTGCCTGACGTGAAGGGTCTGCTGGGGGTGCACGTCGGCGATCTGAAGACGTATGAAAGCACGGCACCGGTGCAGGAGTGGATCCGGCTTCAGCTGCAGGCGGATCTGGACTCGCTGAACATCAGCCTGACGGGCGGCAGGAACTCCAGCGTCACTGAAACCAGTGTAACCAGTGCCAGCACCAGCAGCACGAAAGCCCCGCCGGCCGCCGCCACCACAGGTGACGCTCACAGCCGCCAACACCCACGCCGGCTAAACATTAGTACAATTTACAATATTCGTGGGTTCGAAGTTTAGGTGTGTGAAGAGCTGCGCGAGACGCGATGACGACATAACTGACGCGGGTTTTCCGGTTTGCTTATACACTATACAGCGCGTGCGGCTGCGTTGTTCATTTGAAAAATGGCGGGAAAAGGCTTCATGCCGACGAAACTTGGTGGCAAAAGTCGTTACGCATCCACATATTGACCATCGGTCAGATTACACAGATTACAGGCATAGATGATCAGTGATGACGACTGCACTGTTTACTAAAGAATATAATCAGAAACTCACAGGAGTTTCACTAGACAACATTAACACATTTAAGACTGAGTGTGTTTGAGCCAAACATGTTGAAATCAGCCGTGAACTATCAGTGTGTGTGTGTCTGATCTAAAGATGTCAGTGTGCATTAGTGTTTTTGAAGTGTGTAATGTTCAGGGGACTGAAGAAGTGTGCAGAATGTGTGTGTTGTAAAGGGTGATCTGACGTTAATATCTGTGTGTGTGTGTGTGTGCAGCTGCCGCATCCAGAGTTTGGGCTCCGGTCTTTCTGCAGCTGCTCCTATTGGCTGTTACCATGACGACCCTGCAGCTGCTGCACTGATGACATCATCATCATCATCTCCGTACTGACGTCTCTCTCTCATCTCTGTGTCTAGTGTTTACAAGAGTTTCTGCACTTTTACTAACTCATATTTGATTCGAACTGATCAGTGACACACAGTAATCCGTCATTTACTGCTGGTGTTTCAGAGAAAGCTCTGCTCACATCTCTAAGATTCCACCCAATGATATTCTAAATCTCAAATACATTAGTTCAAATAAATTATAGAAAATGAACTTTTGCGAATGTAAATTATAGGGCTGTAAACGGCGGTAAACCTTGAACCATCAACTCTACGGGTCACTCCAAGAACTGAAACTGTAATTCATGTAAAGACTGTGTGTGGATAAAAGCATATGACAGAAGGAAATGTGTGGAAATGATGACCAAGACAAAAATCTTCTATGTTAAAATAAATCTAAATCATTTTGTTCTCTTTTTAATCACTCAATGAATTTTATTTCCAACTCACATTGTAGAGTTGAGTGTGTGTGTAGATTATACTGTGCTGGGCTTTCAGGAGGTTCAGTGCTTTCTCTTCTGCTGAGGAGAGCTGTGTTTACGGCCAATGACTCCCATACTCCCAATGATACTGTGGAAGTCCATGAAGTCTGGAGAGCACCGTTCCCTCACACAGATGTGGACAATATGGCACTTTTATCATCGCTTGCATGTACGTACTGTAGTGCCACCAACAAATCCCACAGAACCATCAAAGTCCGACACTGTGACACGAATTTCACAAGAAGCTCACACTTTCTCCTCTCAAACACAGCAGCTCTCTGGCAAATCTAAAGTTGATTGTCCAGTTTGGTAGAGAACTCTGTTTTACTTTGATGAACCTGCCCAAGATGATCGACTGGTTGTGAGTTGGCCGGGCCGCATGGTTCCCGTAGCCGTGGCACAGGATCATCCACTCTGTGTGTACTTCCCAAAGCCCAGCTTCTGCGCCCTGTGCCTGACAAACTCAACAGCATTGAAGAGAGTTTCCTCCACAAACGGAGAAGGAATATGGAGTCAGCGGGTCAAGACACGTGCCAATGTTGAAGCTGTGTTTCCCGACAGAAACCAAATCATCATCATGGATCCTCCGGCCAGATTTAGGCTAAGTTAGGCCTGAAGACGGGACAGTCCACTACAAACTGTAAGAGGGACTCAAATGTAATCACAAGGAAGAAAGGAATTGCCGGAATAAACAGAAGATTCATCATAATGTCATTCAACTGTGATAATTACGAAGAGTTTGAGGAGCTGAGAAAGATAAATCCGGACGCCACAGATGGAAAACTTGCCGCAATAAAAGTCCATGCTATTAGAGAAGCAAGAGAATGATCAGAACACAGATGGAGTCGATCGAGTCCATCAACACCTCAAAGCTGCAGTCCTGCAACTCGGTCACTGTGAACGGGGAGCGCTTTATGAACATTTTGTGACGCGCGAGCAGTGCCGGGGACAGTGTGTCTGTTAAGAGTGAGCGCTCGTGAGCGGGAGACACACATAACCTTATTTATGCGAGGTTGAACTGGCCGTGTGACAAAGCGGGAATAAGATGGACAAGAGTGCGAGTTCAAGGGCAAATATAATAACGTGGAGCATTGTTAACTAAATAATCCATATATAAGGCGCCCGGATTATAAGGCGCACTGTTGTTTTTTGAGAAAATTAAAGGCTTTTAAGTGCGCCTTATAGTGCGGAAAATACGGTAATTGAAACGCGTATGTACAGCGCGCGTCTTCCTCTGCTTGTAAACAGAAAGTTTTGCGCTTCCGGCACGTCATCTTATACAGCAGGTGGCGGTAAAACTCCTAAGCGGTGAGCAGACGGTAACAAGAAGTAGTCGAAGAAGAACGTCCTCATCTCAGTTCTCGCGCATACGTCCTGGAAATCTCTTCAGCTCTCGTCTCAAGGCCCACAAGAAAGTAATGGAATAGTCAAATAAAGTCGTTATTTATGGGGGGTTTTTTCGCACACAAAAAATATTCTCGTCGATTGATAAACTTATAATTGAGCCGCTGTAGGCACATGGAATATTTAAACATTTTCTTTAATGACTTTATGGGCCGTCAAGAGCCAGTCCCTTAGGAGCATATGTAGCAGTGACCCACCTCTCAGATTTAATCAAAAATATCTTCATTTGTGTTCCAAAGACGAACGAAGGTTTTACGGGGTTGGTGCAGCATGGGGGTGAGTAATTAATTAATTAATTTTTGGGTGAACTAACCCTTTAAGTAAAACACAAGACCCAGCTGTGAAAGTCATCTTATGTCTGTGTCGTCTTATTCTTCACCTTAAGTATATAAAATATGCAAAAAATTCCATTCAGTGAAATGTCCAAAAAATATTCTAATGTTAAATTCAGACAACAAAATAAAGTTTACAAAATAGAGCTTTTATTAGGTAAAGACAATATTATTGTTCCTCATTACGGTTCAATAAAACTTTGTGTTTGAAGAGGAATATAGAAAACTATTTTTTAGTACATTTCTACATTTCAGTTTATGGCTAATTTTTCACCAAGAAAAATGTACATACATTTTCAAACATAATGTGGGTTAAAAAAATGCAGGTATTTTCATTGAACTCATTTGAAGTGAACTCACTTCCTCATAGAACTTTTACTCAGATGCACAAAAACAGATGTGAGATTTATTTATAACGTAACTGAATGAATATTTTGAAAGAAGTATGTTTTGAAAAGTTCTGATAAAGCCATATTTTCCTGCATCATCACTAGAGAAGCCTTAGATGTCTAAGTCTAGAAGCACTAGACTGGAGAGTCCGAGAGCAGGTGGGACAGGAACTGCTCCTTCCCGGACGAGCCCCCACATTTGTCACGACCGGCTCAAAGCCGTGGCACATGAGATGGAGGACACAGTGATTGGGTTGCAAAAAAAACAAACATAAAATTAACATAAATGTTGAAACATATTAAAACAAGGTCATCTTTAATGGATGTAAATGTATCAACCAGAGAAAACAAAAATCCAAATCAAATAACAAAAGCCAAGCCCAACCCAAACACAAAGCAACTCGGAGAACAGACCTCCCTCTACACTAGCCAGCCTAACTTTTATAAAGGGGTGAACAGGTGGACATTGTTCCCTTGATGAGTCTCCTAGCCACACCCACTAGCCCGCCATAGCAATGAGTAGAGACTCGTCACAGAGACAAACAAGACAAGACTCAACAAGCCAAGACAACAAGATAAAAATGCAGAAAGTAGACAACTAATGAAACTAATGACTATAGATTGCAAAAGAATAAAAGGTATAATACTAGAAAATATTTACTATACCTGCAAACAAAAGAAACCAACAAGACTGCAACCTTGCAAGGAAGTAGAGAAAATAAGAATACAAAACTAAATAGCAACAATATCAAATATGGAGAGAATCCCAAATAAGAAATAAGATCACACACACACACACACACACACACACACACACACACACGAGGACTAGACAAGGACTAAACAAGGGGCTGGGTCTAGAGGAACCCATGGCAAACACACACACATATAAAGACATGTGCTCAGATACAAGACAAACAAGGAGACATTGAACAGAGACAAAACAGACAAGACTGTGGGGACAGGATCCGGACACCAATGTTCAAAAGTGGTAAAGCTTCTCTTCCTGAAGAACTGAGATGAATTTTGCCTTCACAGCATCACTTTGTTTGTCTATAATTTCACAGATCTTTCTCATGCTCTCCTGACTGGTTAAACTTTCATGTGTGATTTTAGAATAATTTTCCTTATGAAGTATTTTCTGCTGACACAGTTTATCTGCAATGATCTGGACATTTGTAACATTCTGAATGATATCTGACCAATGAGTATCGAAATATCTTGCTTTATCTGCCTCATTATTCACACGCGGCTCGTTTCTCTCAGGACGAATCTGATCCAGTTCATTTTTCTTAATCGTTGTAGTCCAGACCTCCTCCTTATCCTCTTCTCTGATGAGAGTCATTTTAAGATCATTCTCCAGACTTGTGTTGACCTTGAAGAAGTTTGGGGGAATGTCTCTTGCGAGTATGATCCCTTCTTCAGGAACGATAGTGGCGGTACCAGGAACGGAGAGCATGTGTGGCGTTCCCATCCGGAATGGCCTGCCAGGTCTGGGATGCTCTATTGGGTAATTTCTCTTTTCTTTCTTCTCAACTTTTTCTTTTGCACACTCATCAATTGGAAAAAGGTAGAGATGTAGAATGAGAGGATCTTGAGAACGCATGTAGAGAAGAAGATCGCAGTGTTCATACCATCCCATGATCCAACTTATAATCAATGTTTTAATAGAGAAGGACGGCTGGACGATCTTCGCATGGAATCGGGTCAACTGCACAGGTTCTGTGGTTATTCCCTCGTCTCTTACGGTGAGCACTTTCACAGCATCTTTGAGAGAGGGGTCAGACTCTCCTAAACAGGCGTAATGGGGCAGATGAACTTCCTCCAGTTTCCCTGAGATCACCGTCACGTCCATCACTGGACCGATCCCGCTGCACTGCAGCCTCTCCAGCTCTGCGTTGAGGAAGAGTCCGTCGACGGCCCGGTACTGAAGGCTGACGGCACAGGCACAGACCCATCGCATTCTGGTCCTGACACACTCGTAACGGCCGGGGTCAGTGCGGACCCTGAACTTTGACCCTCCTTCATCTGTCCAGGCCGACGGCTCAATCTGAAGCCACTGATCAGAATCAGCGATATGGACACAAGACTGGCAGTGAATATCCAGCCCAGAAGGATTGGGCTCAGAGAACCTGTGAGGAACCAGAAGAAGAGTCAGGGGGTTTAATGCTCAAACAAGATTCATTGTTGAATAATCGAATCAATAAAACTCGCCAGTGACTGTAACTACGCTAGTTAGCATGGACTAACAATGAAGAACACTGAAGTGTTTATTCATCTCAGTTAGTGTTCATTTATACATTATTAAAATCAAAAGTTGTGTCTGTCAATATTATTTAATGAACCTGAACTAACATGACAGTTGACTATAACATTAACAATTAATGTATTAACGAATGTTTACTAGCGGGACATTGGCCTATGTAGCCAAAATGGATTTTGATAATTATTATTTGCATTTATTACTGTGAATGAGTTCACCGAAGATAGTAATATGTTTAACATAAAATAATGTATAACTTATAACCAAATCTTTTACAGTTTTTGAACTGTTATTATTTTATTTAATGTTTTCACTTATTATAGGCTACTGAGCTTTTTCCTCTAAAACATGGACTTTAAAGATAAAAGTAGCCTAAATGTAGTTTTTTTTTTTTTAGAAAATGCAAGAAATTATCCATTTTAAAAAAGGATTTTAAAAATAATGCAATGCATCTAAACAGGAGGCCTGGTTGAATCATGCGGCACACTCTGGGGGACGAGCCACAAACCCGTGAGTATGGATTGCGAAAGTGTGGGCACGGTTTATGAATTTGTGGGTACAGATTGCAAAAACTGAGGGCACGGTTTACAAATCTGAGGGCACGGATTAGGACCCGCGGCTCTGCCCAAGCGAACGTTCGTATAAACAGAAGTCCCTAAACCGAATACATTTATTTGGAATAGTGTAATGTTAACCCGTTTAGGCGATTGTGGCATATTTCCGCCTAATAGAAATGTTAGATTATTGTTTTTAAAATAGATTAGATTATTAAAGATTATTATGTGCATGTGCAATCTGTCAAATGTACACTCAATGTATATTGATCTATGCAGATGCATGTGTAGCTATTTGGTTCATGAAGCTAATAAGTATGAGGATGCACACTATTTATGTTTATTGTGTTATAGTGCTTTGTGCTTTACATCTGTTATGTTATCTGGTAATTTACATGTGGCAATGTTATGTTATTCTAGACTCATGTAATTTACGTAAGTTATTTCTTCTTTCCTTTGTTTAGACCACACACACATACTGTAAATGCAAGCACCTAAATTACCATCCATTCCAATGTAACCAGTGAACTTGATGGACATTAAAGTCATTTAAATGGATTTCTGTCTCCGTGTCCTTACCGACACACCATGGTGATGACCAAGTATACCTAAGAACCAGTCCACCTTCAGTACACACAGTATATTTCACTCACCCGGTTGTGTGTGTGTCCCTGTTGTTTCTCTCAGGACGCTGTTTAATGTCACACACAGACACTGAAGAGTTAAACTCATAAAGTCTAAATCCAGCATAGAGGGGTTCAGTGAATGTAATGTAGAATGTGTGTAAGTGTGTGTGTGTGTGTGTGTCAGAGACGCTGTAGAAGGACAGAGTGCCGGCCGACACGTCCACATACACTCCTGCTCTCTTACAGGATGAAGAGACGTCAGGAATATCAGTGCTGTTCTCATTGTGAAAGACAAAGAATCTGTTATTAGAGCAGTACAGACTCCAGGATTTATTATTCCATCCAAACATACTGTCAATCCATCCTTTCCTGCTGATTCCTTTATATGACACTGATATTTCAGCATAATCTTCGCTCCATTCAACCTCCCAGTAACAGCGTCCAGTCAGACTCTCTACACACAGAACCTGTTCATGCACATCAAATCTCTCTGGATGATCAGGATACGGCTGACGCTCTTTCATAAACGTCACTGTCCTGTTTCTCTCAGACAGAATGAGTTGAGTGTGTGCTGTGTTTGGATCCAGTGTGAGATCACAGACATCTGAACACAAGATGAGAGAAACATTTCACTAAATGACACAAATCAACAACAAATCACTGAATGAGTGTGTGTGTGTGTGTGTGTGTGTGTGTGTAGACCTACATTTGTGTAATCCAGCTGTAATCCTGAACTCTCCACAATGATCCACACTATAACACACAAACATGATTCAGATTCATTTACTAAAGGAAACACAAGAAACACACACACACACACATCACTGTTCAGTAAAATATGAGATTTGTCCAGTATTTTACATTAGGCTCACACAGTTGAATAAACATATTAGTATTTTGCAGAATAATATTTAATACTAATATCAAATATAATGAAATCACTTTCACGATCAGTAGTAGAGAAACTGGTTTGTGCATGATTATGTTTTAGTGTGTTTGTTTCCATAGCGACGGAGTCTGGAGAACATGCGCTGTAAACCTGCTGTTCAATTGACACACACACGTCTGATGTAAAACACATCTACACACACACACACACACACACACACACACACACACACACACACACACACACACATTATTGGATATAATCTATTAGTATATTTCACACTTTATCAGAGCTTGGCACACAGATAATTATTACACTTTTAGACATTAGGTTCATTCAAAGATTATAGATATTTAATGTTATTGTGAATTTATCATTTATAGTATTATAGCTGAATTTTCATCATCATTACTCCAGTCTTCAGTGTCACATGATCCTTCAAAAATCACTCTAATATGAGGATCTGATGATCAACACACAGTTATGATTATTATTAGTGTTGAAAACAGTTATCCACATGTTTATTTCAGGATTCTCTGATGAATAAAGTTCAAAAGAACAGCATTTATCTGAAAATAAATGAAAGCTTTTGTAACATTTAACATTAAAGCTTTTTTTGCATTTATTTTTGGCCATTTGAGAGAGATCTGATGTTTTCCATGCAACTGAAGAATATTCGGTAGATCAAATAAAAAAATAATGATAATAATCAAATAAAATATTAAATAATAAATATAAATAAGAGTAAAATGAAAACAAGGACCGTGACGTCACACGGTATAGCGCAGCTGGAGCCCCACCCTGGAGCCAGGCCCGGGGTTGGGGCTCGTATGCGAGCGCCTGGTGGCCGGGTCTCTCCCCTCGGGAAGGAGCAATGTGGGGCCGCCTTCCCGTGGGCTCACCACCTGCAGGAGGAAGTGTAAGGGGCTGGTGCTGAGAGGATCGGGCACCCGATCTGTCACCCAATCCCAGGAGACGGAAACTAGCTCTAGTGACGTGGAACGTCACCTCGCTGGCGGGGAAGGAGCCCGAGATTGTGCGTGAGGTTGAGAGGTACCGACTAGAGATAGTCGGGATCACCTCTACGCATGGCTTGGGCTCTGGAACCACACTCCTTGAGAGAGGATGGACTCTTCACCACTCTGGAGTTGCCCATGGTGAGAGGTGACGGGCAGGTGTGGGTTTGCTTATAGCCCCCCAACTCAGCCGCCATGTGTTGGAGTTTACCCCGGTGAACGAGAGGGTCGTTTCCCTGCGCCTACGGGTCGGGTATAGATCAATTCAATGTAATTCAATTCAATTAAAAAAACTTTATTATCTATCAACCAGTGATAGAAATGTGTCATTGGTTAAAAAGGCTCACATACTGTATACACAGTACAATAATTTAAAAATACTTAAAAAAATTGTTAGAAGGAAAAAAGTGGGCCTACCTTACACTATGCAACAACAATAAAGGCTCAAGCCCAATATACTAATGACACTTTTAGTCTTATTTAAAATAGAAATAGCAGTAGGAATAAAAGAGTTCCTGTACGCTTTCTTTTTGGCCAAAGGAGCTCTAAAGCGGCGACCTGATGGCAGTAACTGAAACGAGCTGTACAGAGGACAAGAGGGGTCGGTCACGATATAATACAGATATAATAAATAAAAGATAATATGATAACACTTTATTTGAAGGGGTGTGCATGAGACTGTCATGACACTGTCATAAACATGACATAACACCTGTCAAGAACATGAAAGAGTCTTAATGAATGTTTATAACTTTTGTCATTAAGTGTCATTCGCAAAATGATGCCACTTTTAATGCAAAGTTGACATTGTTTAAAATGTCTTTGTTATGACAACTTGACATTAACCAAGAAATCATAACCTGTCAACCTGTCACAAATATGTCATAATAGGTCTAATTATCAAACTTAAAGAAGTTATTTAGCTTTGTGTTATCATTACATTACCCTGTCATATGTTATGGTTGGTTTTAACTTTGGTTGTCATGACATCATTATAACTGGCATTAATATTTTACTTGTCCTCAAGTAAAGTGAAACACATTGTACTAGTTATAAAGATGTCATTAAGGGTTATTACACTGTCAAATGCTTTAACAACAGTGTCATTAATATTTCCCCTTACCTCAAGTAAAGTGGAACACGCTGGACTAGTTTTGATTTATTTTTGATTTCTAGTTGTCATAACAAAGAGATTTTAAACAATGTCAACTTTGCATTAAAAGTGTCATTATTTAGCGAATGACACTTAATGACAACAGTCATAAACATTCATAAAGACTCCTTCATGTTCATGACAGGTGTTATGTCATGTTTATGACAGTGTCATGTCAGTCTTATGCACACCCCTTCAAATAAAGTGTTACCGATAAGATTAAAGGGCACCTATTATGCCCCTTTTTACAAGATGTAATATTGGTCTCGGTTGTCCCACAGAATGTATTTGTGAAGTTTCAGCTCAAAATACCCCACAGTTAATTTATTATAACCATTTGAAAATGTCATTTTTGGGGCCTGCTTTAAAATGTGCTGTTTGGGTGTATACAACCTTAAATGCAAATGAGCTGCATATCCTTGCCCTGCCTTTGGATGAGGGCGTAACTTGCATACCTATGGCAGTCGGTACTGGGAGAGTGAGAAACCCGCTGGCCGCTGTTTTGAATGTCAATGTTTGAATCGGAATATGACGAAGAGACTCCAACAGAATAAACACAAATGAGAATGGACCAGTACGTCTCGGTATGGTTATTTGATACATTTATGTACTTATAGAGTTGTAATCGCGTCCCATTTGAAATTATGGATGTGCAACACACACACAACACACACACACAGACTCACACAAACACTAACATTGGCACTTTTTTTTTAAATTACATACACATTCTGTGATAAAGTTTGCTACGTACAAGCGAAATTAATTACATTTATGCGAGGGACCTGTGGCGTCATGTTTACTTGTCATACGGGTGCTTCTGTATGAAGATGGCTGGCTAACTTACAGAACAACAACATACATGCAGTTTTTAATACAATATCTTTAAAAATATTATAAACGTGTGGTTACACACTATACAAACAAGGTTTAAATTATATACACAGACATCCTACGACGACAACAACTTTAGACGCATTTGCTGTTGAATTTGCTGGCATCGACTGAAAAGAGTATTTGCTCAAAAATCATAAAACACACTTACTGTTACTGGATGTGACGGTGGATCGCAAACAGTAGACGACGATCCACAGTTGAGGATTAACTTTGAAACAAGACCTGCTTTGAATTGACCCTCGTTCACAAAACAGTTCAAAACTGAACTTATTTACAAAGGAAAGACACCACTTAAAACTTCCAAAATACAATAAATCCACTGTGTTTTCAGAGGCTCTGATGTCGGAAGTAAAAGAAAACTACTATGTGTGTCATTATTACATCCCATCCCACAACAGAACACTTATGATTCTAGGAGACATTACCGGCTGTCGTTGAAACAATGGAGGATGGTGTACAGATCACCGAGGGCGGGGTCTATGTCACAACCACACTGTCAATCAAACCCCTTGCTCACTTTCTACGTCACAAAGAGCTGAATCTCAGAACAGCTCGTTCTGAGACAGTCCATATGATTTATTGAGATTGTAAAAAAACACTGGGTGGATTTTTATCATTCTAGGGTGGTTTTGCTTACACACTGCCAACACACATTAATGTTCAAACACCATGTAAAAGTGAATTTTCCATAATAGGTGCCCTTTAAATATAATACAGAGGACGAGAGGGGTCGGTAACGATGGTGTCTGCTTTCCTCTTTACTGCACAGTTATATAGGTCTACTAGTTGAATCTGCGGGGCCGCAATAATTTTAGATGCCTATTTGATTACCCTGGATAATTTGTTATTTTTAGCAGAAACAAAATTAAACCAGGATGCAATATTGAAGGTCAATACTGATTCAACAAGAGCATGATATACTGTTATCATGATTATTTTGTCTCACATTAAAGGTACCCTAGATAGGGTGACCACCCGTCCCGCGTAGCGCGTGCGCGCACAGCGTTTGAAGCCCAATTCATGCGTCCCGCAAATTGAGACCGTGTCACGCATAATCAATGCTTGCTGAAAAAAAAAAAAAAAAAAAGTCGGTCAGTCTATATCCTCGAGACCCAGGCAGCCAAACCTAGTGCCTGAACACGTTCACGTTCATGAACTCGTTCATATTTTGGGTGAACTGAACGTATTGTTTTACTGCCTGTCCTGATGAACGTGGGAACTCGTTCACTCTGGTGTCTGTGAACGCACGCTCTCTCAGTTTAACTTCGTTCAATGGGGTGCCAGATTTCTATAGAGCCTTCCAGGTGAAAACCCGGTTAAAACTCACCGTAAACAAGGCTTAATATGTATCGAAAAAACACCCAATCTGGCAACACAAGCCACCAGTGTCGCACCGTGGCCGCCGTCGACAAAGGCGTCGTATGATAATTTAAACGGATTTTATAACGAGGTCGGTGAAGATGGGAAAAATCTTACATTTCTGTGCAAACTTTGAACAGAACTAGTTCATTTTAAAATGTGTGAACTGAACTTTGAACTAGTTCATGTAGAAAGTGAACTTCCCCAAGACTGGTTGCCACTCCCACGTGACCTGCTGACTAGGTTGATGTCAACTTTTTCATTGTTGTCATGACAGCGCAGCTTCTCGTTCCGTGAACCTCTGGAGTTGTGAGTTTAGACTTTTTTTCGACTTTTTTTAAAACTGTTCCTGTGGTGTTGAGGAACTATAATTCCTGTTAATCCTATAATTTTATATTTTTATTTAAAGTGAATTAATTGTAATGAAAAATAAATAAAA